AAAACCCTATTGTAATTATTAAGGCCCCTATCTTACAACCCCCCCATAATTGTACCCATTATAGTAATCCTTATAACTCCCTTTTAAAGGAGCCCTTTAAAAGGAAACCTTATTCTAATCGTTAAGGTACCGGATCCTTTGGGCTTTCGGAGTTGTTCAGCTTTTGGGTGTCGCTGGCCTGAAGCTCCAGGATAGGTCTAGGGTTTAGTGGTTTCGGGTTTAGGCGTTGAGGGGTTAGGGTTGAGGGGTTTAGGGGTTTAGGGGTTTAGGGTTTAGGGGATTAGGGGTTTAGGGGTTTAGGGGGGCTCAGGGGTTCAGGGGTTCAGGGGTTTAGGGTTTAGGGGTTTAGGGTTTCAGGGGTTTTAGGGGTTTAGGGGTTTAAGGGTTTAAGGGTTGAGGGGTTTGGGCGTTAAGGGTTTAGGGTTTAGGGGTTTAGGAACAAGGCTCAAAGGTTGTTTGCAGCTACAATGTCCCAAAGTTCGGCTGCACATCTTCGGATGAAGGGGCCTTGCCCAGGCAGAACGATGTCGGCTTTATGAACCGGTAGGCCAACTGTATGCGGTTGCCATATCATCTACCGGCACCAACGGCAGGTGCGGCATCAGTTCAGCAACGAAATTGGGTTCAGCTCGATGCAGGCTGTTGCAGGCAATGAGGAACCGTGCATTGAGCTCAGCAAGCGGGCTGCTTCTGTGCACTGCGTGAGCACCTGAAACATGACACCTGCCACGATGTATTTGACAACGCAAGCTTAGCCGTGCAACTGCAGAATTCGAACTAAGGGTGTAGAGGGATGTAGAGGGGTTTCGGGACGGCTCGGGATTCCAAAGCCCCGAAACCCTAAACCCCAAAACAAGCGAGGGTGTAGGGGTCAGGGGGTCGGGACTGCTCGGGGTAAGTCCATAGAATCTTTTGAATTCCAGTCGCTTGAAGATCCTTGCATCCGTCGCCGTCGCCATGCCGTGGATAGCCTGCTCACTTGCGGGCGTCAGGGGGCATAGTTAATGGGTTTACCTCGACCCTGAAAAGTGAGTAACAAATGGCCCAAAACCGATTGAAAGGCTATTATCCTGGATACTTTTGGGATCCAGAGTAGGAGTTATAGTCATATTTAGTCTACGCGTCCGGGGTTTACGCCTGCATTGGAAGGCTTCTCAAAGCGGTTGTCCAAAGAGCCCTGATGCAACCCCAGAACCCCTCAACAACTCACCGAAATCCAAATTAGATTAGGGTTTAGGGTTTAGGGTTTAGGGTTTATAGGGTTTATAGGCTTTATAGGGTTTATAGGGTTTAGGGTTTAGGGCTTAGGGTTTAAACCCAAACCCTAAGGAAGCCCTAAGCCCTCAACTGGGTCAACTTTCATACGACCCACATGGAGCCCGAAAAGAACACTACTGGAGCCCGTATAGAACTCTTACAGGCTCAGAGGGTCCAAAGTACCTACGTATATAGTAGAATGTAGGGTTGCTATATCATAGTATAATTACTATGAAAATATTGGGGTGGGGATAGTACCTAGAACCCTTTGAACATAGAACCTGCGTCGACTGAGTCCGCTGACTATTATGGATCCCTTATAGACCCCGCTTAAAGGAACCTTGATAGATTCCATATAAATATAGACCCCCTTTTAAACGAACCCTACTATAGATCCGCTTAAAGACCCCTTTTAAAGGAACCCTATTATAGATCCCCTATAGAACCCGTCAAGGATGCCAAAAAAAGAACCCCCTAAAACCTGACGTCGACGGAGTCCGCCGACCTTAACCCCTGAACCCTCAACCCAAAAAACCCCCAACCCCCCCAACAAAAAACACAACCCCATCATAGATCCCTCATAGACCCCTTTTAAAGGAACCCATAGACCCCCTTTAAAGGAACCCACAGGAAACTTTTAAAGTAACCCCTAGATCCCTGAAAAGGAACCCCTAAAAACCGGCCTGCTCATAGTCCGCGGCAGCGGAGTCGATCTTCTCCTGCAGCTTCTGCTCGATCCTCAGCGGGATTCCATATGGGTAGTCGTCAAAAGTAGGGTCCCCTTTTTGGGTACCCTAAATATTAGGTGCCGTATTGTAGTAAGGACTCAAAAAGGGACCCTAATATTGACAACCACCTATGTCTTTTGAGGGTTCCTTTAAGGGATCCTTTAGGGGGATAGGGGTGGGGGCTCCTTTAACGGATCCTCATGGGCGCGTGAAGTTTTGGGCTGTCAGGTGTGAGGGTCGAGGGGTTTAGGATTCAGGGTTTAGGGGTTGAGTTTCTGCTCGATCCTCAGTGGATTTCGAAGCTTGCGAGTTGTTGGGGTTTAGGGGTTTGGGGGTTTAGGGGTTTTGGGAGTATAGGGGTTTTAGGGCTTCCAGGTTTTAGGGTCAAGGGGCCTCAGGATTCCAGGTTCAGGGGTTGAGGGTTTTAGGGTTACAGTAGAAGCCAGAAAGTTGGAATATCATTATCCTAACCCCTTTAAGGTAAATTATAGGGGATCCTACCATTAATCCATATTCCAACTTTCTGGAGTTCCCTTTAAGGGTTTTGTGGTTTAGGGCTGAGGGAATTGGGCATAATTAGGCGGTTGCGGTTTTAAGGTTGAGCGTTCAGGGTTTTAGGGGTGTTATAGGGATTGCTTTTGGGTTTCCAAGCTTTGTTGCTTCGGTGTTTGTCTGTGTTTCGGGCTTTCTTGCTGGAGTGAAGTACTTAATTAGAGTTTATAAGCCTTCTTGTCAAGAAAACGGACAAAACGCAACATAAAACCTAAAACCTAAAGAAAGCCTGCCGTCGTGAAGCTTTTATATCGGATAAAGCCTGTCCACATGGCTTCAGCAGGCTGACCTTGCAACCAGTGAGCCACATTCGGGTTTGCAGGGTTTCGGATTTAGAGTTTGGGGTTTCGGGGCTTAGGGGTTTTTGGGTTTTGGGGTTCGGATTAAGGGCTACGGGTTCAGGGTTAGGGTTTAGGGGTTTAGGGTTTAGGGCCAGGTTTTGGGGGTTTTGGGTATAATTCGATCATTGGTGTCAAATGCTCTATCTGAGCCATGAGCGAGAAATAGAGAGGAACTACGACCTAGGACGCAGGAACATGCCCAGGATCAGGGGCAGCATGGGGGCTATGGTTTCGAGTAGTGGATCAGAAGCATCCCCACCTGCAGATAGAATTTAGAACATGCTCGACTTTTACTTAAGGCTTTGCATCAGGTTTTAGAGTGGCTTGACGAGCGTTTTATGGGTTTGTAGGCCTCTAGGCAACCCCACACCGCCTAGAGGAGCAGTATTCTCCCTGGACCTCAACTCCTACCACGAGCCCCCATCCATGGTTTACGAGACCTTAGTTCCTGACCTTAGGGGTAGCTTTATATGGGAGTTTCCCAAAATAAGGGACCCCAATATAGTACCCTAAATAGTAGGCTCCTTGTTATAGTGGGTCCTGCAGGAAAGGCTCAGGGCTCCAGCATGCAGCTCGAAGAGCAAGGCGAAACACATCATAGATCGCATGCGCTCAGTGCCCTCAAGCCCGAGCTTTACAGTTCAGGGCTATATTGAAGTTGCAGTGTCTCCAAATGGATTTAGGGTTTAGGGTTTAACCTTAACTAATCCCTAAATCCTGGAGTCTACAACTCTAAACCCTAAAGACTAAGTCCGAAGTTGGACGTCGCTTAAAGCTTCGGTTGCGGGCAACTTTGACGCTTGTGCATCGCACAAGGCGATGGACACTGCGGGCAAGTCCCAAAGGGTCCATGCAAAGTACCTATCTAATAGAATGTAGGGTTCTTATACTGGGAGTTGCGAGTATGATCTGGGAAAGTATCCCCCATACAGCTACTTAGGACTCTTTGAGAGTAGGGCAAGAAGCGACTGCTGCAAAACTTCATTAATCCCGAAGAGTCCTAAGAGAATATGTATATATATATATATACATATATACATATGATAGCAATTACTAGTATGGTTTGGGTAACTATTCCCCATATGGGTACTCAGGACCCTTTGGCAAAGACTTCCACAAAATTGGAAAGATTCGATGGGGCGATAGACTTCGATAGGGTTCATAGACTCAAAAGGCTTTCCAGGACCCTCCTTGTTCCCTCAAAGATATGGTCCCAAATAGCGGGTATATCGGGTCCAGTAGAGAGTAGATGGCGGGGGGTCTAGGTCAGCATACTCTCTCTGCGCAGCACCACGCGAATTCCTCCTTGCTGTCCAACTCACTCGAACGATGACTCTGTGTCTAGCGAAAACTCTTATTGATTCAAAGCAACCACTCGACATGGGAGCAAAAGGATGCACGGGATTCAAGGAACGACATGGGTGCATCCACCTCTTGCTTTGTAAGTCCATGGTTACGATTGCAGTCATGAGTGCTGATGAAACAACTGTGAATGATGATACACCTCCGACTCTTAGCTATACGGGCTGGGATTCACGATCCCGAATCTGCGAGTATGTAACCCTAAGGGTCCATGTACCCAAATAGTATATACATTGGCCCCAATGTACCTATATAGGGACTACTTTAAGGCCAATGTATATACTATTTGGGTACATGGACCCTTAGGGTAAGCTACGACCAGCACTGCTGCATGGCCTTCATGAGACGATCCAGGTCGTGTGAGATGCTTTGTGGCGCAAAGACTGAGTTGGAGTTCATGTGGAAGCCCTACCTGTGACTCCAAACCCTACTAAATAGTAGGTTGTGACCCCTTAGTTAGAGGGTCTGACCCTTAAAACGGTAGGGTTTTGGATCCCCAGGTAAACCCTAAACCCTTAAACCCTAAACCCTAAACCCCTACACCCTGAACCCCTAAACCCTAAACCCTAAAGCAGCAGGGTCATTGTCCGGACTGTGACGGCTACAGGTTCGTGGGCTGGGCAGTTAAAAAATAGTGACGGCGTCGCTTCTTGGCGAAGCAGACAATTGAACCAATTTCTCCAGCATGCCACGAGGGGGCTCTTGCATCCTGCGAAATCAGCACAAATCCCAAAGATGTCCCTCTCCAGCTCGACGGTCTTTAAAGACCTGGGAGGGCACCGGGCAAGACTAGTTCATCCGCCATGAGCATTAGGATGTTTCCTGTATATACGCTAAGGGTCCTCGGTAGTGCTATGGGGGATACTTTCCCAAATCATATGGTAGCTTATATTACAAAACCGTACATTCCACCATATTTGTACTTAGGACCCTTTGGGTTCCTAGCATTGAGAGAATAGGGCTTGGGGGTTTGGGTCTAATGGATTTAGTAACTTTCTCTGTCTTCTCTGACCCACACTGTCAACATGTATCAAGGGAGCGCTGACACCAAACCCAAGAAACAATGCTTTGTTCATAAACTAAGACCACGGATCAACATGGACGTGCACAGACAGCAGAAAGACTCTGCACGCTCGATGCAGAACTGCAAACCCAATGCAGAACCGCAAGCCCACTGCAACTATGCACTCATCCAGGTCACCCTCAAACTGCGCAATGGAGAAGATGTCCACATCACCTGTACTGCATGGCTGCAACGCAGTTCCACATGACTTCTAGAACCAACAGTGTTTCGGGTTTGGGGCTTTGGGCTTTCCGGATTGGGATTTAGGGGTCTACTGGACGGACGTCAATGCTTCTCTGCCAGGGGTCTACACGCGTCAATGCTTCTCTGCCAGGACGCTCGGGAGACACTTCCGCGCACCGTGGTCAGGCAGCTCGATAGCGAATAGCATGCTGGCGACCTGCGTTTACATGAAACCCTGAACCCTGGAACCTAAACCCGTAAACCCTAAACCCTAAACCCCCTTAAAGGACATCAGTCGGAGACCTCTCGAATCAATAAGATGGAGGGATCTAGGGTTCCTTTAAAGAGCTACAAAAAGGTTCTGAGTTGAGGACTTTAGGACTTAATGTTTCGAGTTTAGGTCTTCAGAACTTAGGATGTAGGTTTTTGTGTAAAAGGTGCGTCGGCCTTTTCTCCAGCAGCCTGCCTCATAGAGGCTTGCACTCCAAAAGACCACAAACTGTACTGTTAGGGCTGGGGTCTAAGAGTGCTTTAAGGGCTTTTCATGCGCTTGCGCTGGATGGTCTTAAATTAGGCTTTGTCCTACGCCACGTCTGTAAGAGTCCATGATCAAGCAATTGCCGAAGCACAGCTATCACGGGAAGCTGACTGTGAGATGACCATTAGATGGATTTTATCCAAACCTGAACCCCACACCCGCATGCCACCCCTGAGGCGGGCACCTAGAACTCAATCTTGAACCGTGACCGGTGTGGGTGCAGAGCTGAAGGTTGATGGCCCATATTGCTGCGCGTTTTATTCAAATCTTGTGAGAAACATCTGGAAAGAAATCATGCCAACTATAGGCCCAAACTGGGCTTAGACCTTGTTCTTTTTGTATTCAAAGCCTAAACCCGAAACCTTGAACCCTTTAAACCCTAAACCGTTCAAGGCTCGGGGTTTATGGGACTTCCCGAGGGCCGGAACCTGGAACCGAAATCTCGTGACTCCAAGGAAGTCCGAAGCCTGAAAAGTTAGGTTCGTGAGTAGCCCCTTTACCCAGACCCCCGGGAGGATCCAAAAAGTAGATCCCTTAATGGGGGTTCCTACAAAGTACCCTTGGTAGTATAGGGCCCCAAATTAGGGGATCTACTTTCTAGATCCTCCCGGGGGTCTGGGTACTTGGCTGACTTCTGAGCCCCTCCTAAAAGTTAAACTTTTAGCCTCCTTATTACAGGTCATATAAAAGCCCAAATAGTTAAAGTCTAAAAAGTCAACTAGAAGAACGCCAAGTTTATACTACCCAAAGGGTCCTAAGTAACTATATAGCGAATGTAGGGCTTTTATGATAGGAGTTCGTATTATGATTCGGGAAAGCATGCCCCATAACACTTCCTACGACCCTTTTTGGGATGAGGGTACCCTTTTTCATATTACTCGGTTTTAACATGGGGGATCCTACCAAAAAGGCAAAAGGACGGCAAAAGGGTGCTACTCAGGAACCTAGAAATTTGATCTTCGTGTACGAAAAACCTCACTGGTACGGTTCCGGGTAGGGCGCAGCCTGATTTATGGTCACCTCCCGCGAGTGCCATACCCTGTGGCCCCAAAGTAGTTCCTTTGTGGGGGTTCATATTTAAAATCTTATGAGGTACTTGGAGGTTCATGGGTAGTTATAAGTAGGGTTATAAGTCCCCTAATAGGGCTTATAACTATAGTTACCCTGCTTATAACCCCACTTAGAACTACCCATGAACCTCCAAGTACTCCCAAAAAGGAACTACTGTGGGGCCTCTGGGTAAGAGCAGCATGAGGATTCTTGTTGAGTCAGGCTGATCTGGGAGTTTCCGAAAATGGGGGGGCCTTAATACAGTACCCTAAATAGTAGGATCCTTTTTATGAGGACCCCAAAATGAGGTACCCTCTAATTTTCGGCAACTCCCATCTATTACTCAGAACTCTGCTTAACGTCCTTCCCTCAACCAAAACTCCGTGAACACCACATCCCTGAGCCCGAAACAGAACCTGGATGTGGTAATCCTGTACTTCCCCGACACCGACACCCTAAACAGTAAACCCTAAACCCCAAATCCTTAACCCTGCTTGGTCAGTAGGGACCTCGGCGCCAGCTTGCTTCATCAGCTGCAGAACCTTAGGCTCTATGCTTGGAGGGTCGGGGAACTTAGTAACTGGTTATTTTAGGGACTTATAAGTACCATAACCCCAATTAGGGTCCCATTTAGGGCACTTAGTAAGTAGGTAGTAAGTAAGTCCCCCGACCCTCCAAGTAGAGTTTAGGGTCTAGGGTTTATAGAGCTTAGACTCTATCCCTAAACCCCTAAAACCCCAAAATCTGTTGCAATCTCAAGCACGGCTTCTGCCGTGCGCCCGGTGGCCAGGAAGTCGTCGGCAAAGGCGACTCTTGCCTTGGGCCCGAATTATAGTAAACTCCATATAGTTGGAGGCCAAATAGTGCTTTAGGGGCTTAGGGTTTAGGGTGTTTGGGGTTTAGGGGTTTAGGGTTTGGGTGTTTAGGGTTAGGGTTTGGGGGGGTTTGCAGTAAACTCCATAAAGTTGGAAACCGGACTAAGGCCAAAGAGTGCTGGGATTCCCTAGTACTCCTCAGGACTGAGGCTGAGGCTATGGGGTTTCCAACTTTTGGGCTCCTACTGTATACTTATAGGGTTGAGGTTTAGTTAGTTTAGGGTTTAGGGTTTAGGGTTTAGGGTTTAGGGTTTAGGGTTTAGGGTTTAGTTATAGGGGTTGCTTTATTGGATATATCGTTGTGTAGCTGTAGAGAGACTGTGAGGGGTTGCTCGTATTCCTATTTCCGGCAGCCGATATGCAAAAGGCTTCAACAGCAAAGGCTTTAATCGCAAGCCTGAGAAACTAGGTTTCTGAGTAGCCCCTTTATAAGAAGGGTACCCTTCTTCTTACTATCCGGTTTCGACTCCGGTTCAATACGGGGGGTACTACTCAGGAACCTCGGAAAGAAGCCCCACTTCTGGAAGACAAGCATCTCAAGCCTTCCTAAGCCCCTAAACCGAATTTCCGTGCTTTTTCAGCTCAACAAGGTTTTTGGGAGGGTTGATACGGTATAATTTCAGCTCAGTAATTTTAGCTCAGGTCTTACACGGCTTGATGGGATGAAGGGTTGAATTCCGTTGTGGATTCCACGGCGCTTCCTGTGCCTGCGGCTCTCGCTGTGGGGCTTCTCTCTTACCTCCAAACTTCAGCGCTCTTGCCCTACCCCTTGAAGTACCCTTTAAAGGAACCCTTAAGAACCCTACTATTTGAGAAACCCCTTAAACCTTGACTCCCCCTGCAAGCCCTCTACATAAGCCTAAGGCTCAAAAAGCCCAAAAGCCTTAAATGGTACATGGTATTTGGGGCCAAAAGCCTTGACTTATAAAGGTGCCTCAAATTTTTACCAATCCCTTCTGCGGGGTTCCCTGTAATAGAATGGGCCCCAAAACCCTATTCCAATTGTCATAAGGCCCCTACACTGAACCCCATAATTCCCGCATGGCAGCCCCTTCGTAGCAGCCCTTATGGACCCCTGTGAAGTCTAAAGGAACCCTATTCTAATTATCAAGGCCTCTATATCGGACTTTCCGAAAACAGGGGACCCTAATTCAGTACCCTAAATAGTAGGATCCCTATTATAAGGACCCCCAAATAAGGTACCCCCAATTTTCGGAAACTCCCATATTATCAGTCCTTAGAGGCTCAGGGTAGGAGCTGGAATCTGAATTTCACATGTCAGAGGTTGCAAGCCAAGCTGAAGGGCCCAAGGCTGAAATTTAGAGCTTTAGGGTCTAAGGGTTTAGGGTTGTGAAGCTTGAATCAGTCGAAATACCGTAGACAAACTATAGTGACTATAGTGATATTAGGGAACCCGAAAGAGTAGTATTCCCTGCTTTGTCTTGGCCTAGTTTCAGACTCCCAAGCCCATGACCTGCAAGTCCTGCTTTCTACGAAGCTCAGTCGTCCGAAGGTTTTTTCACCGGGAATATTTACTGTTTGAAGAATGTGGAACCTATATGCTCGCAGCACAGCATTACCCAGAACCATATCCAGAATATCAAGGCCCTTTACCTCAAGAGCCAAAGGAGCCGGACAAGTAGGACGCTTATACTATGAACCTAGGTGTCGACTTCAACAACCCCCCAAAATTATGCATAATTAGATCGCTACTGCGATCAACAATAAGAGGAAGTAAAAATAATCCCAAAAAGATACCTAGTAAGTTGCCATTGGACCTTCAGCTCTGTCGGATACATGCCGTCCTTTAGGTGTGAGCTTTTTGTATTATACTCAGACTACCATTCACCAAAAACCCGGTTCTAATTCTCAAAACCCCCTACATCCTACACCCTTAAGAAGAACAGCTCTCGGTAAGCAACCGCGCCTTCGGTGGGATGAGGCCATGAGAGACCTCCAGCTGACCTGGATCGCGATTCTTCTCGGTAGGTTACTCCCTTGTAGTTCCTTTCTTGGGTTACCCTATAGGATCCTCAATATACATATGGTTAAACCAGGAAAAGGAACTACAATGGAGACTACAGGTACTTCGGTTGATGATATAAATCCTGCATGACCCATAATAAGGAATATACCAGAATTCTCATTGTTTAGGGTCCCTAAGGTAATGCAGGATTTATATCATCAACAGTTGCTTGAGCACATGGACCTGTGGAAGCCCGAAGAAGTGCAGAGCTCTGAACGCCAACCGTGACCACGGGTTTAGGGGCTAGCTGGCGGGGAGAATCCCAAAATCCCCCATTCCTGCGTCCTCATCCCGAATCCTGAACACTAAACCCTAATCTTGAAGCTGCCCCACCTGAGATATAATGATCGCCCTTCTCTGCGATGAAGGAGCCTGTCGCCAGTGCGCGAGATCTTTTCGTGGGCGGGAGGTGAAGGATTTCTGCAAACTTTGGATAAGAGTCTTGATAATGCTTCAATATTGAAGGGCTTGGGACATCCGCCAACCAAAACGGCACTAGCCTGCGATATGGAAAGGCAGATGGTCATGATTGACTTTCGGCTTAGGGCCCTGCATTTGCTTGGGTTTCAGCTTGCAGGTTCATTTACTTATAGCCGAGTTCATAAGCCTGAAACTAGAAAACTTTCGGCTCGACAAGATTATGAGGCTGCCGGTCCTCGGACGGTTGCTGCTTATCAGGGGACTTAAGAGCTAGGTTGTAAGTAGCCGCGAGTCTACAAACAACATGAAGCCCTAAACATCTTTAAACCAAAAGGGAATAGTTAGGGTTTAGGGTTTAGGGTTGTAGGGTTACATATAAGCCACTTTCTACGTGAGTTGCCTGATACTTCAAGCAGGGCCCTGATCACATGGTTCGCAAGTTGATCGTGTCGGGGCTTGGGTTACAGCAACAGCCTGAGAGATCACCCACTATAGGGGATCCTAATCAGGTAGCTGACCCTAGATAGGTAATAGGATGATCAACTGATCAAACCATTCCTCCTAAACCCTCTCAAACACTAAACCGTAAAAGCCTAAAGCAAGCTCGCGGAAATCTGCAATAAGCGGCCTCCGGACCCTCTAAGCCCTCTACAGCAAACTGCTCAAAAAATTCCCAAGCCCGATTTAAAGGACCCGGGCATCATTATTAGTATTATTATTATTATTGTTATTATTATTATTATTACTATTATTAGCTGCTGTTGCTCAGGCTGTTCTGTCTGACAATGGCTTCTCCGTAGAGGTCCACTTCTCCTTTGGCCACAGCAGGTGCCACCAGCCAATCAGCCTTCACCATGCAGGCAGGCCCAGCTTGGAGAATGCGTGGCAGTTCCAATGCCAGCGCCTTGTACTCAGCAAACGCACTCATTGCCTGAGATATCCTTGGCGATCGAGGAGCTTGCAGAAGCCTGTGAACAGGCAAGCGTAGGCCACACCCTCGATGCTTGCCTCCCTGAGACGGAGTTGGGCGAGCCTTTGTTGGGTGGCCAGCAGAGAGGGACTCCCCCGCCGTACCCGCTTCCTCCCCTCGGCACACCCACTCACTGTCGAGCAGTGTGCTCCTGGGCTCAAGGCGCTCGGCATAGGTGCGGACTGTTCGGTGGAGCCATTGGACGGCCTCACTCGCATTGCCCTCGACCTCCAATGGCACAGAACAAGCTTCAACAAAGCCGTGCATTGGAGACATCCAGCACGTCGCTGGGGAAGAATCTTGGAAGCAGGCCAGCGGCCAGCATGCGAGAACTTATTTGCACGTTGCACGTGAGCTGTATTCAGACAGGACATCCACCCTGCACCTTGGACGTGAACCAGTAGTGGCCTTAACGCCAAACAAGCCCAAACCCTGGACGGCTTTCATCCATACCTCCAATCCAAAAAATCCGAAGGAGAAAGCCCAGCAAACCCCCTCAAACCCTAAACCTTAAATGGCCTTAAACCCAAATCCCCAAAAAATCTGAAGGAGAAAGCCCTGCAAACCCACAAAAACCCTAAACCTTAGATGGCCTTAAACCCAATTCCGCAAACACTCTGAAGGAGAAAGCCCTGCAAACCCCAAAACCCTAAACTTTAGATGGCCTTACGCCCCAATCCCCAAACACTCTGAAGGAGAAAGACGTGCAAACCCTATAAACCCGAAACCCTAGATGGCCTTAAACCCAAATCCCCACACACTCGGAAGGAGAAAGCCCTGCAAACCCCCGTAAACCCTAAAACCCTAAACCTCTATAAACCCGAAAACCCTAGATGGCCTTAAACCCAAACACTCTGAAGGAGAAAGCACTGCAAACCCACAAAAACCCTAAACCTTAGATGACCTTAAACCCAAATCTATAAACCCTAAAACCCTAAGCCCTTGAACCCAACACTCTGAAGGAGAAAGCCCGGCAGTCCTCCGTACTCCGTTCGGTGCAGGGGTGGCGGCACCTTGCCAGCCTCCGGAAGCGTGGGGCTCAAGTTTAGGGCTTAGGGTTTCGTCTTTGGGTTTAGGGTTTAGGGTTTAGAGTTTATTTTAGGGGCTTTGAATAAATCCTACACCCCCCACAGCTCAAGTTTCAGGTTGCGGGACCTTCCCAGAGGGTCCAAGTACCAATATAGTAGGGTTTTAGGTCCCCAAATCCTAACGCTGAATGGTTTCTGGACCTTGAAACCCTACTATCTAGGTACTTGGACCCTTACGGTTTCGGTTTCGGCTGAAGAGCTTAAGGGCGTTTCGAATCTAGGACATCCCAAACCCCAAACCCGGTGTAGGGTTTGGGGCTTACCCGACCCTGTACAGAGCTTATATACGGCTTATGGAGAAAAAGGTTGCTGGTGTTGGCTTTACTTGGAGGTTCATGGGTAGTTATACCCACATATAACTAACAATGAGCCTCCAAGTAGGGGTTGTTAAAATGGGCCCAAAAGCTCCCAAAGCCTCAAACCAGGAAGACTTCCCCACATGATGTTTTAGGGGCCTAGGGTTAGGCTATAGGGTTTGGGGTCTAGGGTTTAGGCCTTGATGAGTAGATACGTTCCTAAACCCTCTAAACCCTCAACCCTCTAAATTCTAAACCCTGAACCCCTAACACCTAACCAAAACCTAAACCTTGAACCCCAAACCCTGTCAACGATCAACCCTAAACCCTGCATAAAGCAATTCGTCGAGTTGTTCGGCCTTCCGAAGCGCGATGAAAGGCGTGCAAAGGCGCGCCGCCAGAGCGGCACCAACGGTAAAGCCCATGGCCTTGAAATTGATGTGTAAACGGTTTAGGGTTTAGGGGTTTACGGGCTTACCTAGACCCTCAAAAGTAGGTAAAATGATGGCCCAATACCTATAAAAGGCCATTATTCTACATGGGGAGTATACAAGGAAGGGATTTATAGGCATTCAGGAGTTGAGGGTCCAGCTAATGAGTTTAGCGCCGTGGAGTTGTGGAGGCCTGAGGCTACCTGGGGCCAGCATGCACAGGAGCCTCAATCTGCAATATAGGGGCTTACATGACTAGAATAGGGTTCTGGGGCATTCTTACTACAATTATAAGAAGGAATCCCCCCAAACTAGTATTGGTAACCATTTAGTTAGGCCGTAAAATTAGCTGCTAAGCGTCACCGTCGGAGTGTGTCTTGACGCCACTCTACAGGATATGTGGGCAGACGTGATAATGCCTGCCAAAGCCCTTCAACAAAAACTCGTGGACAACCCAACCCAAAGGGTCTAAGTATGATTATGGTATATACTTATAGGGTATTATGGGGGTCTAAGTATGTGCCATAACAATACTTGGACCCTTTGGGCAAAGACACAAGAATGAGTTGAAGGTGGGGAGCTGAAGGCTTCACATGTTCAGAAAGCCGCCGTGAGGTCTAATGCCTTATGCAAGCTGGCGCTACTTCGATGGTTCACTGTCCGAGGACACGGAAACCCCTCAGAAAGCACATAAACCATAGGCCCGCAGCCCTAAGCTAGACTATCATCCCGCAGTACCAGACGTTAGGCGATAGTCGTGGGTTCATACTTGGAGGTTCATGGGTAGTTAGAAGTGGGGTTACAGTATAGCTCCCTTACATATAACTTCACTTGTACCTACCCATGAACCTCCAAGTACCACCCACAAACGTGCTGAAGGTATGTCGTCAGATATCGCCAAAGCTGCAAAACCAGGGGTGCTGCACAACGAGGGTCGACTAGAATTCTGGGGTAGCCAGCTTTTCGTAACCCCGCAGCCCCAAACTGCACACGAAAATCGAGCAAGCAGCATCAGCAGAAACGACTGCATCCACCTCGATGCCTGCGTCCTCCAAAGCTGTGAGGGAGGGTGAAGGATCCGGCAGGTTTTGGGAGATTCTGCGAGTTGTGCTGGGATTCTACTCGATTTAGGGATCGAATCGTTAGGGCTGAAGAGTTTTGGGGATCCTTCTGTTCGGGAAGGTCTCTGGGAGTTGAAGGGGTTTGGGCTTGGCAGTTTAAACTTGAAGGGTTTAGGGTTCATAGGGTTTAGGCCCTGTTAAGGGTTTAGGGCCTCTTTAGGGTTTAGGGCCTGCTTAGGGTTCAGGGTCTGTTGAGGGATTAGGCTTTATACGGCTGAGCAAATCGAAGGCCATTATGGGAAGGTTCAACTTGATGCTCGGGACCGTGGCCCCTTCCGCAACCCGAAACCCTAAAGCCACGCTCCCACGCTCCGACACTGAAATTGGTGGTGTTGGCACAGTGCCAGGAACCCTGGAGTCCTTCGGGTTAAAATAACTATACATGCGAAAGAGAGGGTCCAGGGTTGAGGGTTTAGGTATAGACGGTATAGAGTGTAGTACTTTGTCTAGGCAAACCTACTGCAGGATCAGCATAGTGTAGTGAGAGAACCCCCCAAAAAAGGTACCACATGTTAGGTAGAGTGGCAGCCCACTGCAGGTAGTCACGGCCGGCATGTGAATATTGTTGAGGCTGTGTACCTATCATGTGTACAGGAACAGCTTTCACAACATCTGTCTACTTTACAGTAATCCGACCCCTTTATACTTCGCTGAATCTCGTTCCATACAAAAAGCTGCTCGGTCGGGAAAATTCGGCGTCGGGTGCCGAAACAGTATGCAGAGGAACCTTGTAGGGAGGAGGCAAGACGGCCCCAGTTCCTCATACCGATACCCCAAATCTAGACTGTCCCTGAGCCTTAGGCCTAAACCCTAAACCCTAAACCCCTCAACCAAGCATCCCACTAATCCTCAGGCTCTTGAGTCCTTGGCTCCATGCTTCAGACCCATCTCTTCCTAAGACTCACGCTTGTGCTGCTGATACTCCCAGTTTACTAGGTTGGCCCTTTAAAGCCTCTGAAAAATATTCGTAAACAGGGTCCTATTAAGCCCAATAAGGGAAAATATAAAATGTCCCAAAGGCCTACCTAGTTTAGAATAAGCAGGAGTTTGGTGCTCAAGACCTTGAGCCCAGAGCCCCGAACCCTGAACCCAAACCCTAAACTTGCCCCAAACCCCATGTTGCAAACCCTAAAAAGGGAACTCCAGAAAGTTGGAATATGGTTTCAGGGTAGGATCCTCTATAATTTACCTTAAAGGGGTTACGATAATGATATTCCAACTTTCCGGCTTCTACTGAACTTCAAACCCTGGCTGTAAACTATACCCTGAACAGCCCCAAGCTGCCTCGAGATGCCGGACAAAGACTTCCGTCATCAGCTTGAGACCGAAGCGATGCTTGAACCTTGTTCGGAGAGTTCGCTCGGAGTTTTCAGGACCATGGTGCGTATGTTTACATGTACCCATAATATGCACATGCATGCACATGTATATGTATCTTTATGGTGTCAAAATCACGGGCTTCAGGGATCACAAGCGATGTAGAATTGAATTGTTTAGCGCTTCAGGTTGGGGTGGCTACCAACACAAACACAGCCTGTTGGAACCCCTCCCCCCTTGCGGTGTTTACGACCGCGGCACAGAACCTGCACCCACATCCTTAACCCCAAACCCTAAGCAGAACTCGGGTCGGGGGATCAGGATGGTACCTGCGCTGAATCTTAGCTCTCACTGTGCCCTCGATACCCACTATCAAACCCCACAAAACATCCAGTATACATCGCCGCACAGTCGGAAGCTGCTGCAAATAGTTTCAAGGGGCACGCTCTGAATGTCTCGGAAGATGATCCCGGGGACGGGATAATCTGGCAGATCTCCGACCACAGACCTGGGTCTTGCTAAGGTGCTGTCACTTCATATATGCTGTGCTCTTGGGTTTAAGTGAGTCTTCCCATAAGTGTAAAGGGAACTCAAAAAAGTTGGAATATGGATTAATGGTAGGATCCCCTATAATTTACCTTAAAGGGGTTACGATAATGATATTCCAACTTTCTGGCTTCTACTGTAAAGCTTTGCTAAACAACATCAAAGAGACCGCACGACTGCCGGAAGCAAATGGCTCCAACCTTGGACAACAGCGATTGAGTTGGGACCAAGAAGGTGGGGGCTGAGGGTTTAGGGGTTTAGGGGTTCAGGGTTTAGGGGCTTAGGGGTTCAGGGTTTAGGGGTTTAGGGTTGAGGAGGTTTCGGGTCCAGGGCAGAAGGAATTTAGGGTTGAGGGGGGTTCGGGTCCAGGGCTGAAGGGGGACTTCAGCGTTTCTGCAAACTCAAAGCGCATGCCGCAAACGGGTACGCCCTCTTCCATAAACTGGATGCTTTTACTTTTTAGCGCAGGGGATTTAATTTAGGTTACCATATTAGGGATCTATGGTAAATAATGTGACTTGATTGTTATGGTAACTTAGATGAAATCCCTTAACAAGAACCCAGATAACACCCCTAGGGTCTGAAACCCCGAACTCCAAATCAAGACCTTCGGCAAGTAGTCACTGAAAACGGAAGCCAGCTTCTCTGGAGAAAGCCCAGCACAGAAGCTTCAATCCGGACCTGATACTGGCTTGTACATATCTAGTTCATGGTTGGGATAGGATAAACAAACTGCATGTTTATTCCTTATTCGGCTTTAGTACGCATAAAAATGTAAAATGCTACCCCACCGTCACAAGGATATAAGGGTGCAGCTGGGATCCTGGTTCAAATGACCCAATCTGCTGGCTACTCAAAGACGGACCCGAAATTTCACAGGAGGCCTTCCATGCCCAAGCCTCAACTGGACGTTGAAGTAATCAGGGAGAGATAAATATAGACTTGTATTGCATAATGGTTCCTTTAAGGAACAGGTACCAAAAAACAAGTATTCAAGTATGGTACTCCAAACCCAGGTCAACATCCACCGAGGAACACCACTGCTCGAGTTTTTCGTCGGCCTCCTGACATCTCAGTTGGACGAGATGAAGGACGTCAGGGTCTGGTGCGAAGGTGTTTGGGTCTCTCTCTGTCTCGCTGTAGTATAGGGGCCTGAATGATTGCCTATACTATGTTTTTTTGGGGGGTCCTTCTTATAATTACAGTATAGTGGGCCCAAACCCTTATTTAAAAATAACCAGGCCCCTATGTTATCGTGTTTCGAACTTGCCAGCCATGACAATGTTCAGGTCTACAGGTCGACATGGGGGGCAATTCCAGGCTCGGCGACGAGGCCGGCGGAGGGGGAGGGGGGCCAAGAACGCATGGCCGGCAATGGGATTATGTGAAGGTGTACAGGACTCAAAGCCTATGGGTTGAGGGCTTAATTGGTGCGTGATCTTTTTTGTTCGGGTTGTGAGGTTTATGGAAGTTTTGTGTCTCTGGCATATAGGGTTGGAGGTCGAGTGCAAGGTTAAGCGTGGAGGCTGGATTGTAAGATTCTGGCTGTGCGGGATCTGAAGCCTTCATGAACCTCAGGTTCAATCAAAGAAAAAAGGAGGGACCCGTAATAAGGACCCCTACCCTATAATGGGCTAGAAAATGGGTATGAACTAGCCATGTTAAGGGTATATGCCTAGGGGTCCTTATTAAGGGTCCCTCCTTTTATCTTGGACCCAAGAAATCCAGCCAGTGGGGCGGCTGGGGTCAGGAGAAGGACAAGACCCAGGATTCTCCCGAGACCGAGGAGGAGATCAGGGAGCTGGTCAAGCTCCTCACCAAAATGGTTCTCAAGCTAGAGGACGAGAATGCCCGGCTGCGGGCGGAGTGCGGGTTCATCCACTGAAGCCCGCCGGAATCCAGACAGCGCAAGCAGCCTTGCTCCGAATCACCCATCCGTCTCTGTCCCTGTCTACATCTTAGCAGAAATACCTAAACTCTAAACCCCGAAACCCAAAACCTAAACCCGAACTAGAATTACATTAAGGAACCCTCTATGCTGCAAAGTAGCTCCATGCTTCCCGGTTAAAGTGGTAGCTTGGAGGTCTCAAAGGGTGGGGTAAAGGTAGGTAGGATGAAGGATCCCTTGTTTTCAAACTCTTAAGAATTATTTTGGCATTAAACCCTAAACCCTAAACCCTTTACCCCTGCTACCTTCATCCCACCTTTGGAGCCCTTTGAGAACTGGGCGCTCTGCAAAAGCGAAGCGCCTTCGTGTTGTCGAAGCTGAGGTCACATTCATAGGGTCCCTCGCCTGTGGTCGGGTTTCTGCGATTTTCTAAGGGGAAACGGAGCGACCCTTAATGGGGACCCCTACCCTATAATGGGGCTTTTTTTAATGGGTATATAATAGCTATATTAAGGGTATATACCTTTTCCGTGGATGCTGAGTTCATCAGCCCTGGTGGATACAATTCTGCCGAAACAGGTAAAGTGTAGCTACTAAGTATCGTCAGGGTCTTAGAATCAGGGTCCTAACGCTGCTGACATAACCCTAGGGTAGATGGAAGGAACATGCTGACATAACCAGGAACAAGGGATTCGGGTTCAAGTTTGTGGGCAAGGCAGCTGCAATACAAAGATGTATATCGCCAACTCGGGCCCCGCACTAAATCCTAAACACATAAACCCTTGACCCCCAAAGGGTCGTAAGTACCTCTATAGATTTGGGATTTGGGAAAGTATCCAAAAAAAGCATAGTTGCTTAGGACCCTTTGGGTAACCCTTGGCGACAAGAGCTTGCGCCAGCACCTTCGACCCGTCGACCACCCCGGCAGGCAACTGCAGAATCGCTGGCTGTCACTTCCACCACGAGGGTCCTAGGTTTCCGAAAGAAAGTCTGGGGTCTAGGGTAGTGGAGTTTTGGGGCTTCGAGTACGTAGTCTGGGGGTCAAGAGACTTGTTGCAAGGGTGGTTGAAGGCTATGGATTCTAGTCGGGACTGTAAGATCCACCTCAACCCGGAATAACCTACCTTTTTACGGACTTGTCTAAGGAAATCATAATCAGGAGCCCTAAAAAGGTAGGTTTCTCAGGGTTAAGGCAAGTCCTGGACCCAAGCCCTGAGAAGCCAAAATACCCCCAAGCAGCCCTGCCGTCTTCGACCTCAAACCGCATTCGCCCAACACACGAAAGCAACGAACACAACACCAATCCTGGGTGCTTGAATCCGACCCCAAGGGTCAAAAGGACCCAGTAGTTAGGTACTCGGTTTTAGCATAGTGGTTATGTAGGTTAGGATTGTGGAGAGTATATGATTGTTATTTACATGGACCCTTGGGGCTATAACTATTCAGCCTAACAAACAGACCCAACAAGAAAATCGTATATGCGTATACAAATCTTGCGTAGCGGCGCCACGCAAGCCTTCCGAACATCGGCCAGGTTTTCCCGAACGCCAGTCAAGAACAGCCTCCGATTTATTGCAAGGGGCCCCTTCAGGAGTTTAGTTAGGGCTTGGTGTTTAGGGTGTATAGGGTTTGGGGTTAGGGTAATCCTTAAATTAACAAAGCCAGCCCTTCGGGTTCCGTCTTATCATCTATACTGCAATCTACACATACGGGGGGTTATCAACATTATGATCCCTTTTGGGTCCCTATCATGATACGGCACCTAGTATTTAGGGTACCCGAGAAGGGACCTTAATTTTGACAACTACACATATCTACCACCCTAATTCGTTTTTTAGAAATTCAAGCTCCTGCACCAAAAAAACCTTCCAAACCCCTTGTAGAACCCTTAAGGGAACCATTCAACGAAACCCGATAAGCCCCCTATAGAGCCTTTAAGGGAGCCCTTTCGAGAAACCCGAAGGTAAGTACCAAGGTTAAGGTCTAGGCATTCCGATCCACCAATCGGTGTGGCAATCGGTTTGGGGTTCAGGTTTCGTTTATAGGTTCCTTTAGGATTGCTGCAAGTTTTTAGGGTTCAGGGATTTGGGGTTTATGGCTTGGCGCAGAGATTTTGACGGCTTTAGGCGATACAGAAGTAAGGATCAATTCTTAGGCGTCCTCAGACGCCGGGCGAAAGAAACCCGGACTCTACAAAGGACGGACCCAGACAGTCCACAGAGCTCGAGAAGCATGCGTTCCCGTCTGATCAGAGCTCTAAACCCTAAACCCTGAGCCCTAAACAACGACTCGGATGCCGAAAATCCACTGTAGCCCATGATCCGAAATCCACTGTGAATAACATAGGGCCTTAGGAATTAGTGTAGGGTTCCTTTAACGGGCTCCTCTCTAAGGATTCTACAAGGGTTTTGATGGGATTTTAGTATAGGGGCCTTGATAATTAGAATCGGGTTTCGAGGAATCGTATACTATAACTATAATACGGAACACCCCGAAAATAGTATCGAATTAGGGCCTCCATATTAAGGACTCTTTCAAACTAACCTCAATACGTGAAGGCCCCTTATGAGCTTCAACACATAAAGCTCTGCACTGCGGCCCTTCTCAACTGCCGACAGACACGCCTGAAAAGCAGGGCTTGGTGGTCATGCACAGAGGATCATAGATTGCCAAGCCGCAGCAGCAGAAAGGCAGCAGCAGCAGCAGCTGTGGCGACGACACCAACCAATGACAAACTAGAACTTGACCAACAAGCACAAGTATGGTTGTAGTGATTTTCATCTTCGAAAGGCATCATAAACAAAGAGACCCAAACCCTCATAAACCATGTCCTGTAATGGGGTTCAGGGCTTCGGGTTTCAGCCGAGACACACACCACCTTAGTTGCCGAGCTCATAGCCAAAAACATGTAAACTCTCAGTTAAAAAGTGGCTAATATTGTCCCATCCCAACAGTTGTAAAGTGTACTCACTCAGCTATCCCGAAAAGATCCGAAAAGTCTAATCTTTCAGTGCTATAGGGGCTACGACCATCCCAAAAAATCCAAATACACGTATTCAGCTGCAAAGTCACCCTTGTTGCCCTCCGCCAGCGTGCGCCAGAGGCAGCGCCGCGGGTAACTGGGATCCTCGGACTTCATCTTCGCGTAGAATGCCTCTCACGGTTTGGGGCATAGGGGATTAAGGGTTTAGGGATGTCTAGGTTTTACTTATAGGGTTTAGGGCTTGCATTTTTAGGATATTTTAGGGTTTAGGGTTTAGGAGATTTAAGGAACCTTGTAAGATGTTGATGAGTAGAATAGGGTTTTGCGGTATCTCATGCCGTTGATATAATGGGGACTCTCGGCTCTCTTGTTCTGCTGCGTTCGTTGCTGGCAATGCTCACATACTCTTACTTGTCTATACATATTAAATTAGAAATCTAAAACATGTACATAAGAGAGAGAGAGAGAGAGAGAGAGAGAGAGAGAGAGAGAGACAAAGAGAGAGAGGGAGAGAGGGAGAAAGTAGTGCATGTACTGCACAGTGACCATGACCATACCGTAGTGAGAGGACTTGCTGTGCACTGCCGAACACAAGCATGCACGATACCGAGAACGATAAGATAACACGATACATGCAGCTTAGCTAATCGCGTTAATCGGGAGTAGCTTCGGTGAGAGGGGTTTTGAGGCTTATACGGCTTGAGCGTATAGGTTTATGCAAACAACGGCGAGCGCTCTGCTGTTCATGATTGCAAAAGCGCGCTCCGCATTAGAGTAAATACAAACGAGTGCTGATCCTACCGAGCATAAGGGTAGCAGTCTTGTCATGGCGGAGCACAGTAGTCTAGTCAAACCCTCAACTCTTAACCCTTATCCCTGCGACATGAGCAGACCTAATTATTGCCCGAAGCCCCAAAGACAGACCCTAAACCACAAACCCTAACCCTAAACCCGTAATCCTTAAACCCTAAACCCAAGCCCTGAATATAAACCCCAAACGCCAGAAACCGGCCTGCATGGAAGACCTGTGCGATTCTTTGTAGCTCCGGTCGCGGCGAAGTCGGTCGAAGTCCGCGGCCGTTGCGTTGCAATACTCGCGCTTGAAGGCCTGAAGATCTACCTACGACGTATTTTACTCTTTGTGATGTTGCTGTAAGCCCCGTATCCGTCGCACTGCCGCACACATAACCAGAAGACGATATTGCTGTACGCAGACCTTCCTATGTCCCTTCATCAAGGAGTACACCTTATTATTTCGTATGAGGCATCCTACTAGCATGTAAGTGTATCTTCCTAAATGAAGGGATATTGGAAGGTCTGGGCATGTACCCCCCGACTTGGGGTTTCGCAAGGGTTTAGGGTTTAGGGCATCATGGCTCTACGCTGGGTATTTTATGCGGGTTTTGAGGAGCTACCTTTATTCATTTGTTTTAAGTTTTAGGACCCAAACCATAAAACTCGTTGGCCGAAACAGGAACTACACTGAAGATGATAGGCAGCTTGTTAGATCAGTGTACTGTTGTCCTTGCTGCTGCGGTCGCTGCTCAGGAATTGAGGCTCGGGAGATTTGAGGGGTGGAGTCTGGGTTGAAGGCGCTTGTGTTTGGTGTTTGCGCTTCAGGACCGTCGCAAACATGGTGTCCTGGAGTCCAGCCTTTGGCCCGCCTAAGCCTAAAGCCCCTGAACCCTAAAGTTTAGGGTTTAGGGTTTAGGGGAAACACATAACCTTTAAGGCTTGAATCTCACTCCCGATTCAAAGCTGCTAGGGGACTGTTGAATCCAGACAGGAGTTAGTACTACTGATGGGGAATCCCTGTCTCATCAATCGTCAAGCGCATACGTAAAATTTCCCAGTTTCGAGAAGACTGAAGGTATTCGAGGATTCAAGGTTTAGGGCCGCCTAGGGTTTGTTTTCTCCATCAACCGTATAAGCCTGCCTGCTTTGGCAATCTACTTCTGCAGCCCTGCCCTCCTGGTCATGGTAACTCCGCCAGCAATCAAGGGGTCTTGCCAGTCAGAACAGGCTTCCAAGAGTGGGTTTATGCAATAAAGCATAACTTGGGCTGACATATATGCTTCAATGCACTCCACCCCGAACCGTAAACACAGCAACCTTTACGAAATCTTATCCCGAAAAGCCAGTGCAAAACTTCGCTCGATCTCTTCGAACTCTACTTGTAAAACTCGTGAGTGAGAAAGATCGCTAATAGTAGGACCCAGTTGGTAAAGACTACACAAAAGGCACCCCTAGCATTAAGAATGCCCACACAAAGCCCTAAACCCTACACCATCATACAAACCAACCAACCACTTGTAAACGCCAATAATATGCAAAGAAAGGCACCCTTTGCTACAAGGAGGCCCCTTAACCTAAATTCAACACATCGCTGTACCCTAAAGCCTAAAACCAAAACTACAACCTTAAACCCCTAAACCCTAAAACCTAAAGTCTAAAGCTTACCTGTTTCAAGGAACGCACTACCTTAAAGGCACCTAAACCCTACCTGGACCCTGCAAACCCCTACTTTTTAGGGTTCCCAAAATTGATTTCCTTATATAAGTCGTCCTTTTCCTTATAAAAGTCCTTAAAACAAGTAGGTTAATTATTCGGGGTTAGAGTAAACCCTACAGGACACCCCAGGGCCTCGCTGATGCTCAGGACCTTCGAGGGCACCCTTAGTCCGGCCAGGAGGTTGCATGCGAAGTCCGCCACGTAGTCCTGCGATGGTCCCGTTAAGGGTTGCTTTGAAGGCTCCTTTAAGGTTCCTTTAAGGGTTTAAGACTTTAGGATTTAGGGTCTTAGGGGTTTAGGGGTTTGGGGGCTTCCTATCATTAGAGTTTAAGTGTTTGAGGGTTCAACGGGTTTTAAAAGGAACGTTTAGGAGTTCACTGGTTTAGGGTTTCGGGTTTGGGGTCAGGGCTTAGGGGTTTAGGGTTTCGAGAATACTTACTTGCTCAGTTCGTAGGCCCAAAAGAGTGTAAACTTTCGGTTCTATAGGGGAGAATATCATCCCCAACAGTGTAAAGTGCACTCATTCAGCTACTACGAAGAAGGGCCTCGGGGGGTCCATCATGCTCTCTCTCTCTCTCTCTCTCTCTCTCTCTCTCTCTCTCTCTCTCTCTCTCTCTCTCTCTCTCTATATATATATACATATATATACATATTTACATATACATATACATGTCTGATTCTGTTGTACATTATGGTGTGATTCTTCGACACTACGTGTTCCGGAGGTGGTTGCGAGCCCTGGAATTACCGGAAACGCGCATGCCCAGGGTCCCCCGTTTTGTGTGTGTGTGTGTGTATATATATATATGCCTCTATGTGTATATATATATATATATATATATATAAAAATACCTACAGCAAATGTGTGTGTATACATATATATATATATATGTATACACACACACATGGGGACCTAGGGACCATAACTACTGGGATATCTGTAGTAGTCCTACAAAATGATACTCCGAAAATAGGAGCACAATATAATGAACTAAGGACTCCCAAGGAATAATCTCGGCAAATATGTGTAAGTGTCCAGGCATCTGGTTTGAGTTTTAGGGTTCAGGGGTTTAGGGGTTTGTTGCTCGCGGTTTAGGAATAAGGTTCAAAGTTCGGGGTTTAGGCTTCGGGTTAGGAGTTAGGGTGCGGGATTCAGGATTGTGGTTTGGGGTTTGGGGGGGAAAGAGGTTGGCGAAAAGTCTCAAGAGTATCGTCCTTGCCGGCGCAAGCACGCCCAGTAACCTGGAGAGTCATCGGAGTGAAGTTTGATCAGGGACGTTATAGGTTTACGGCTTAGGGTTTGGGCAGGGACATTTACTTATACCCCAGTAGCTTCGGAATAATCATGAATACAATCGTCAAGCACTTGACCCTAACCCGCAACTCTACTCGCTAGCCCTCAGTCTAATGAACCTAAGGTTTCACAATGTGCTACAAAGCCCAACCCGCTCCCCCGGCCTATGAGCCTCAGAATCGCTAGAAGAAGGCTCTGACGAATGGCCAGGTCACCACTACGCAGGCACCGAACTCTTTCGTCTCAAAGGGGAATCCAGAGATGGTCAGCGTGGGATCAAACTCCCCTGCAGTCTGGGGTTTTAGCGCTTTTCGTTGTGGTTTTGGGATTTTCCCGTAGGCTCCATGGTAGCTCCTTTTTGGGATTACCTTATAGGATCCTAAATACAAGCCACAAAAAGGAAATACTATGGAGCCTCTAGGTAAGCTATGAGGCTTTCGGAGCAGGAGTTATTTAGGGTTTAGGGTTTAGGGTTTAGGGTTTAGGGTTTAGGGTTTAGGGTTTAGGGTTTAGGGTGTTCCGGGCTCACGGTTTACAAGTTGTAGCTCAACAGTCTATAAGTCAGTCCACAAACGCAAAACCCAAAACTGTAAACTCCTAAAAGCAAAACCTCCCTCCAAAAGCCGAACTCCCAAATTCCAAGCCGTGGCCCTACAACCACTAATTTCAAGTCTCCAGAGCGAAGACTGACCTACCAGAACCTGCTAGTTCTGTCGTCTTCGCTTCAAATGCATGGATGTCATACGAAAAAGCTGCGTATCGTAATCCGTCAGCCCACTAGTCTTGAGCTTCACGTGCCGGGACCGCCCATGATACGTTTCATGAAAGAATATGCCTAGTAACGTATGATGAAAGTGTGGGTGCTGCTAAGCATCTAAGGTATGTTTAGAAACCCTTTCTCTCGGGATGAGCGGCCTTGGTAATTTCCATAGGGTTTGGGGTAGGTGATCGTAGAACTACAAATGGAACTGTATATGAAAAACAGGAATATGATGAGTAACTTTGCAAATCCCGTTTATGCTTGGATGTGCTTAGGCTCCGGGCTCTACAGAGACAAAGCTCGTGGCCAAGAGTCTTGCCTTCTGGCATTTCGAGGATTTGAGATATCCGACTCTCGGCCGGAATGCATGATTCAGTCCGAAGCTGTGCCCTACACAGGTCTAGCCGTTCGATTGAAGACGAACGGGCTCCCATGCTGCATCTCTCGTGCTCCAGCTTTCATTCGTAGACGCCCTTCTCAAACCTTTAGCTGCAACAGCAGCTGACAAATGCAGCCAGGTCGCGCTTGGTCTGTGCCAGTTTGACTTCTGCCGGACCATAACAGAACCGGGAAAGGGCGATATCGTCCGGGCCCAAATCTGCTGGGTACACGCCCACACCTGTGCCATCCAGCTTTACGGAGGGGTCTGACACCTCATTAAAATATTACAAAATACAAGTACGATGCAAGGAATGTATGTGTGCAGGCATACATGTTCTTAGAATATATATATATATATATGTATATATGCACAGTTTATACATATCAAGAATACGCATGTCTACATCTACTTACAGTGTAGAACACCCTCGTTTGCCCTGCTTTCTCTGTCGTTCAGGTCTGCACCGCGCAAAAGCCATGATGCCATCCATGCCACCAAGCCACCCACTGGCCAGTGCATCCATGCCCAAACCATGAAAACGTCCATGCTACCAACCTGTGCATCCATGCCGAACAATAATAACGTCCATGCTACCTGCTTCCAACCCATCAACTGGCTTACCCGGACCCTACAACACCTACCTTTTTAGGGCTGCTTCTTACAGTGTCACTTGATAAGTCCTTTCAACAGGAAGGTGGTTTTTGGGGTTCGGTAAACCCTTAACCCCTAAATCCTTCAGCCATTCCCGGCAGCCAAAAGATTTGGGAGTTGATCCTAAGATAGTACCCTAAATAGTAGGATCCTTATTACAAGGAGCCCAAGATGAGGTACACCTAATTTTCGGAATCTCCCATTTCAATGCCAGGCACTAAACCGCAGCAGCGTACGGACGGACTCGTCGACCCATGTCACCTTGGCATGGGGCCCTCTCAACCCAACAGCCCGAGATCAGGGGGTGCGAAGGTAGGGCCTGTTTAAGTAGATGAGGTTTGTCGGTGTATGTTCGGATAGGGCCTGTTTAAGTAGGATAGGCCTTGGGGTATGTGTTCGTATAGCTGCTGCAGAGCAGGGTAGACCGATACCAATACTAATTATTCCGACCCCCATGTTAATGAACCTCTTGCTTCTTTCCTCGAAAGCCTCAAACTCTGAACTCGGGACTCTAGACTCTAGACCACTCTCAACCCAAATTGAGACAATGCTGTGACACATCGACCTTGACTCATGTATCCTTCTTTGTCTCTACTCGTTCATAGTGCAGACCCCTGATCAACAAGCACACAGCTGCGAGGCACCACCGACGAGCAGTCTTTGCCATCTGGCCACATGCCTCCGCGTTTCCCCGAGACTCCAATATCACTTAATTAAGGAATATACCAAAAATTATAGTAGGATCCCTTATATGACTTAAGGTATATTCCTTAATTAAGGGATATTGGAGTCTCTGGGTTCTGCGGCGGTCCGGGTCAGGTCTTGGAGGTTCGTCAGATCTTGGGGGTTGTTGGACATGTGACATGTGGGTAGTTGTCAAAATTAGGGGCCCTTTTTGGGTACCCTAAATATTGGGTGCCATATTAAAATAAGGACCCAAAAAGGGACCCTAATATTGACAACCACATATGTAATGACACCCAACGGTCTTCATGGCCCTCTCAACGTATACCTAAGGAGCAACAGTCTAGTGAATGAGGCCATCCCCGAACCCGTTGTTTAGACTGCCTCGTGCTCGACTGGGGTTAGTGCCCTTGTATTATGTACCATTCTCATTCCCTGCGCCAACTTTCATTTCATATTCCGAAGCCCTGCAACAAAACCAGATACCCCAAACCCTCTAGCCTTAACCCTGAACTACTAATCCTCACCCCCATAAACCCTGAAGCAACACCACATACCCTAAAACCCGACGCAGGCCCCGCCTGTGATCACGGCCGCAAACCTGGGATGTATGCTGCGGTGGCTCATAGCATACAGTAGATTGGAGATTGGTTTAGGGACGGAGCGGTGTTTTGTTTATGCGAGTTCTGCACAGATAGGCCCTAAACCCCTGAACCCTAAACCTCCAATACAAAAAAAACTATCCAGGCCCGCAGTTACTAGGGGTCCAAGGGGCGCAATAGCTAGATCTTCGGGTCTGGGACGCCGGAAGTGCGGTTTGGTGCTTCGGTGGGTCTATGATTGTTCAGAAACTACCCAGAGGCTCCATAGCAGTTCCGTTTTTCTGATTATTTTATAGGATCCTCAACATGAATCCCAACAAGGAACCACTATGGAGCCTATGGGTAGACTCTTGGGTCAGAGCATCAGCCCGATCCCGTGGCATTGCTCTTCCCAGAATGTCGTCAATTCCCAGCTGTGCCTCTCGTTTCGAGTTAAGCCGGATCAACACCTAATGTAGGGGGCCTTAATAAATGGAATAGGGTTTTGGAGCCCACTATAATATACTTATAATAAGGGCCCCCCAGAGTCGTATTGGTAATTATGTCGGCCCCTATATTGAGTTTTCAGCGTTGAGGGTTGAGGGCTGTTCGGTTTTAGGGTCCAAAGAGACAGAGACAGGATCGCTGATTATTTAGACTTAGTCGCCGATGTCCCTATACAATTGCCTTCTTGTCGGGTATCATCGGGAACTCAAGGCGAACCTTCTTGGTTTTATAGGGATTTTCTGGGGACTATGCTACCCACGAAAGGTTAAAGGTTCCCTACTCTACTACTAGGGTTAACCCTAAACAGCCAAAAATCCCAAACTCAGCAACCAAGTACTGTACAGAGAGAGGTTTCTCGCTACTCTTCTCGTTTCGAGTGCTCTGGGTTCCTGACACAGAGCCCCATACCTATATCCCTTAGTAGGAAATATTGAAGAAGGTCTACTAGCCGGTCTGTTTATTCTTTTGGGGGAACCATGAAAAAGGACAAGGCTGGTTCCTGAAGTGCCGACTGGGAAGAGGCTTCCAGTGACTCTAGCACCCCGCAGTTAAGGGTTTAGGGCTTAGGGCGTGTAGGGTTTAGGGTTTAGGATTAGGACTAATATAGGGTGTAGGGTTTGAACCTATACTATTTTGGGGTCCTTGCTATAACTATGTTATGATATACCCCACAACCCTTTCCTAACCGTTGAGGCCCTTGTACTACACCGTTTTGGAAGGGCATACACGTTCCTGTGAGTCTCTGCCGCAAAATCAGAGACCTATAGAACTCTTACAAAGATGATTTTGAATCGCAACAACCCGTAAGCCCGAAACTCCACAGTAGAGTGGCCTGACTAATTACAAGAAGGTCTTGGTGAATTTTCCAGCATAACCACATACGGGCTGGACGGGGACATGAGCTACTCGTCCTCATTCCCTAAACCCTAAACTAATTCCTAAACCCTAAGCTAAACCCTAGACCCTCGACCCTAAACCCTACACCCTAAACTAAACCCTAGACCCTACACCCTAAACCCGAAACTCTGAAAACTAGGCATTGTGTTTTCGCCTGGCGACTCCCAGTCTCTCTTGGCAAACGCGGTGACGCGATAATCCTGACAGGAAGCAGGGAGACTGTGGGAAGAGGGTGTTGGGTCTCTAGGCTTTTTTTTAGTACTTCTTCGGAGGGTTCTCCTCATTCCTAGACTTCGTGATAGTTTAGTGGTTTAAACTAAGGCTTATAGGATTAAAGAGGTGTAGGGTTCAGGGTTTAGGACCCTAAACCCTAAACCCTCAACCCAGACCCCCGGGAGGATCTAGAAAGTAGATCCCCCAATTTGGGGCCCTGTACTACTAAGGGTACTTTATAGGAACCCCCATTAAGGGATCTACTTTTGGGATCCTCCCGGGGGTCTGGGAAGGGGCTCTGGTTAAAGGCTCCACCAGGCCCTCGCAAGGCTCCCTTCCATGTCAGACTTATCACCAAGTGGGCTCAGGGCTCAGGGGAGAGCAGGGTTTTGGGTTTTGGGTTTACCTGGACCCTAGGGCTTAAGGGCTTAAGGGATCTGTAGGGGTTCCTTAAAGGGGTCTATATATGGGATCTATAGTATACCTGGACCCCAAGAGTATGTAGAATAATGGCCTTTTATAGGGTTTGGGCCATTATGTTACCTACTTTTGAGGGTCTAGGTAGGGGCTTAGGGTTTCCCGCTTGTTTCTGCAGGATTCGTAACATGCTTTTGGAGTTTGCTTCGGCAGTGAGCAAGTAGCCATGAGCAGGAATGGGAGAGACTCATATAGTTGCAACCTGTCCCCTCGCTCTGATCGTAGTGGGAGTTTACTCTTTAAATCTCTTTAGGAGTGTGGGGCTTTGAGGTGTGATATTCAGAGGTTAGGGTATCGTGGGCCACGGGTGGCCGCCTGTCGGTTTGAGGTTTCAGGGATTTGCGGCACTATGACTCCAACACTATCGGGGTTCAAAGGAAAAAGTCCGCACTGCAGCCTAAGCTTTCCAACCGAAACGAAAGCCCAAGTAAGCCTGGACAGGAATTTCAGGCAGAACCAAGACCCTACCACTAGCCCTTAAACATAGGGATGCTTACGAAGGCCCTTCGAAAGAGAATCCTCAGGCAGGCTGGTGAAGGCTTCTGGTTTAGACTAGCCCGATATTCCAGGACTCGGACACGCAGAACTTCGCGGACGGAGTCCTGCTTTACCACTCCGCCGCAATGGACCAAGTGGATGTATGACCTTGAAACGCATCTGAACCATTCGCACTGTATGCCCTTATAGTCCCAACATAGCTAATATCTACTGTGATATAGCCGAAACCTTCGTATATGCTAATAATTCGGGCCCCTTTATCGGGCTCTGTTGGATTGCTTAAATAGTTGGGCTTTCCTTGTGATGAAGTCTCGGAGAGGGCCGAATCTACCACCCCTACAGGGCATTGCATGAGGGGTCTAACCTACAAAATCAAAACTCTCTCTTCTGGCTGTACGTAGAGGTTCGTAACGCTCGAACAAGGCATGGTTATGGTACAAACGGGTGGTTGTCAAAATTATGGCCCCTTTTTGGGTACCCTAAATATTAGCTGCCGTACTATAATAGGGACCCAAAAAAGGACCCCATTTTTGACAACCGCCCAAACAGAACATGATCAATCCGAAAGCCAGAGCCAGAACCTCAGACTGAACGCCTCAACTCAGCCCCATACGTCCTCAAAGCCCGCAAAGCCGAACGAATCTCAAAGGGGAAAAGGAGGGACCCGTAATGGGGACCCCTACCCTATAATGGGCTATATGATGGGTATATGATAGCTATATTAATGGTATATACCTAGGGGTCCTCATTAAGGGCCCCTCCTTTTAGCCTTGGAGAATCGACAGATACCACCAACCAAACCATAACCCCCGAACCCTCAAGTTGCAATCCAACGCCCTGAGCAATATTCACAGTAAGTCCAACAAGCATCTGCACTACAGGGTTTAAGGGTTTAAACTACTAAAAACAAGGAAACCATGTTACTTACTACAGGTCCCTAGTGTGTCACCCTCCAAGCCGCCCCAACAAGAAACCTTCAAACAAGGAACTCCCGAAATGTCTACGCGATGCCGTAGTACTCTTGTTCAGTTGCCGCAGGGTCCCTTCAACGCGGGGTTTAAGTGCTGTAAGGTTTGCTCTTTCGGAACAGTGCCAACCCCAAACCCCTAAACGTGTAAACCCTGAACCCTAAACTCCTAAGCCCTAAACCCCTACAACCCAAACCCTAATTGCCCTTGCACCCTAAACCTCTAAACCCTAGTACCCTGAACCCCGAACTCTAAACTCCTAACCCCAAAACCCTGTACGTGGCCAAGAGGCAGCTTCGGAGAGGGCACGGAGTCCATAACTGAGGAGCGGAAGGTCAGAGCACTGCGTGAATTGAGGAGAACTGCTTATGGGTTTTAAGGTTTTGGGGTTGAGGGTGTAGGGTTTAGTTTAGGGCAGGTTAGGGTTTGCGGTATAGGGTTCAGGGTATGGGGCTGGATGGATGTAGGGTTGAGGGTTTAGGAATACAAGATACTTATAGTCATGGAGGTGCACTCTCCGGGTTCATTGTGATGAGGGTTTAGGGACTTGGCATGACCGTAACCCCAAACCCTCAAGGGTGCCCCTTCTCCAGCCTTGTTCCAACTCCAGTGCCAATGATCTTGTCATGGTTCCCAGCAAAAGGCAGCGCTTGTAACTTCGGGCCTGCAAGGGCGTCTGGATCAAGCTGATGGGCTTTACAGGGCCCTGTCGATCTTGGAAGTATGTATAGAGCAGAAGCCTTATCAACGATGACATGGTTGTTGGTTAAATATATGGTTTAGGTATTCATCTTTTCAAGGGTCTCTTTTCCATCTGCACGGGGGTCTATGCTACGAGAAGCCTACTTACATGGTGGGGCAGGAAGGTGTCGCCACTTTTGGTGTACTATACAGCTATATGTCAAGGACACAGCGGCAACAGCAAACTCTACTTCCAGTGCGCCCCGTGAAGCTTGAGGAACAGAAGAGGAATCCCCTACGATAGAAGCACCAGAAAAGAAAGAGTCGATGCAACGTCCCTTGTTAGGAACATGCACCTAATTTGGTTGTTACCGTGGCTTCACATTACCGGGTCGCAACCAGGATCCTAGCATGAACCAGATTATACAAAGAAGGACACCATACATTGCTAGGGAAAAAATAGGGCTACAGGTTCACAAACAAAATCGCTAGACGCTCTACCGTAGTAGCCTAAACCCTAAACCCCATCACCGCGGACTCGGCAGGCCTTCACGCTCACCCCCACGCGGGCTGTGTCGAAGGTTGGGGTCATGTAGAGCTCCTAAGATGGGCTACTTAGGGTTTAGGCGTTTTGGGTTTAGGGTTTCGCTGACTTCTACAGAACCCCCACTGCTTCACTAAGTATCTTTGCATCCCATTGACTATATGGGTATCTGTCAGAATCATGGTCTTTGGGGAACCCTATGCAATGCTGCTCTTCATCCGGCTCACCCTATAATTTGGAAAGCCAACAGGGACCCTCGTCTTGACAACTTCGCAAATAGTTCAGGCAGGGCTTAGGATGTTAGTATCAAATGTAGGGGCCTCAATAATTAGAATAGGGTTTGGGGGTATACGATACTATAGTTACAATATAGGAGCCCGCCAAACCCTATTCCAATCATTAAGGCCCCTACATTATGTTCGAAGGATCAACCAGTGGAGAGGCGCGCACGCTGAGTGTTAAGGGCTAACGGTGTTGAGCTGCTTCTTGCTTCTCCTATGATTACCGTGCCACTTGAAGCGACTGATAAAGACCCCGGACGGAGCCCCGAAAGCCCTAGAGCCTCAACCAAACCGCCCCAACCGACAGAGCCTAAACAAAAAATCCAGCGTCCTAAACCCTAAAACACCGAACAAAATAACGACCAAGTTTCCCGCTCAAACATCTCCGTCCTCGGTTCCCATGCTCCGCTTGGCTCTCAATGGGGGTGAGGGGCCCCGGAGTTACAGGGCTCTGAGGGTTTGTACTGAGGGTTCGGTGGAGTTAGGGGGACCCCAAGGTGCTGCTTGGGGTGCCGAGCTTATAAAATTTCGTTCAAAAAACCTCTAACTATACTTAACTTATTCGAACCAAATTAAAAGAGGGAGCCCTAATGTATTAAAAACCTAAATAGTAGGATCTTTTTAGAAGGGGTGCCCCGAATTTTCAGGAAACTCCCAAAAGATTATGTTATATCATGTTCCGAAGGTCATATTGTAGCGGCCTGAGCCTTCGATGAGAGAAGCCGATCTGCTCGCTAGCGAGGGAAACTGCAGCGCGCAGTCCTCCTGCTTCGAGGCTCGGGAGACTTAGTAAAATGCTTTAGGAGTTTAGGGTTTAGGGTTTTAGGGGGGTTTAGGGTTTAGTGTTTGGGGAGTTTAAGGTTCTGGGTTATAGGCGTTGGTGATGTATAGGCTCAGGGTGTAGAGTTACGATTTGTTGAGTCAGAGGTGCAGTCTGCGCATTGAGTTGGTTTCAGAATGCACATAACTTGGATTTGGGGCGGTCATACCGGAAATCTGTTGCTGCTTGTTGAGTCGCCTAATTTTGAGAGGTTTGGGGGATTGCAGGCTTTGTTTTGGCCATAAGCCCCGAACCCTTAACTCTGATACTCTAACTCCTCAAGTCCCTAAGCCTCACCTTATTCAAAATAGCTTAGCCTGCGGCTCCTCCAGTGAGAAGGCAGAAGTGACGAGCTGCGGCTGAGTCTCACTCGCCCACATGAGAAAGCCGTCAAGGGAGCGGCTGTTGCACAGGCCTGGACAGTTTCAAACCCCCTGAAGGGTCCGAAGACATGCGCTACTCAGTTGCTGAATGTCATAAGCGCACGCTTTCAGCTCTGTAGAGGATGATATTCTCCCGAAAAAGTGTAGGCGACTCATTCAGCCGCTAAGACTACATCCCCTGAACCTGGGGAGTTTGCCTTTGAAGCAAGGCCTTGCCATGCCCTGCCCCACCGCCGATGACTTTGAAGCCCGTGCAACTCGAAGGGTCCATGGGCTCAAAAAATATTTACTTTAGCTATAGAGGGACTGCGTTAAGGCAACAGTACATACTATACTCTGCTCTTGATCAATAACCTGGCCCAGTAAAGTTCAAGCTTTAAGGGGAGTTGGTCTACGAAGGCCGAAAAGCTTAAAGTTCTCCCAGTGGCTCAGTACATGAGCATCTGGACCCTGAGGGTCAACCAAGCCGACCTAAGCCCCATCCACAGTTCTAGTTCCTCAATAGCAACCAGAAGCCCCAACATTGCTCAAAGAAGAATCCCATGCTTGCTAACTTACAGAGAACTCATTGGAGATTCAGGGGTAGTTATAAGTGGAGCTATAAGTAGGTTAACTATTACAATTATAACTCCTAGTAAATTATTAGGGAGCTTATAACCCCACTTCTAATTACGCATGAACCTCCAAGTTAACCTATTGAGTGCCCTCGAGCTCGTCCCGAACCACCTCCGCAGACTGCGCCGTACTCTTGCAGCAACTCCGCCCCGAAGGTGTCGTAAGCCTCGTCCTGATCTGCGATCATACTGTTGATGGACAAAACCCTGCATTACCCGTTAGAAGGAATTTACCATAGTTCCCATAGTTTAGAGTCCTTAGGGTCATGCAGGATTTTGTCCATCAGCAGTATGTAGACAACTTTAAACTATACCCCCCCTTAGAACCACAATGACAAAAATCATGTTTAATATTCTCTTGGGTTTTGTATGAACGAACATCCAAATAATTCCTAAGGAGACCATAGGTAAAAACCCTAAACCCTAAACGCTTTCGACCCATGGAAAGTCTCGCCGCAATCGGCCATGACGCCCGCAAGGCCTCGAAAGTTTCGGTCGGAATTGCTTGTGCTTCGGTCCGCTGCTTTGAGAGAGCTCTTGCTCTCTGTGCATGGAGACTCAGAAATATATGTGTGGTCTAACTACAACCATGTGTGTGTGTGTGTTTATGTGCATAGATGTATGTATGTGCGTATGTATGTGTGGTTGACATGCATATACATATACGTACATGTGTGTCTGTGCGAGCACACCCGGTGTATGTATAGGTACAAGCGCCTGCACACACGCACACACACACACACACACATGCTGGCCGATTATTGCTTTATTTGGACGGTTTTGTATTTGTGCCTATGAATACGGTGACAAAGTAGTGGCCGATGGCAAGAGGGTACCTAGTTCCATCCTGTGGACAAATAGCCGGGCATAGTTACAGTAGGTTGCAGGTGTGAAGCTCCGTAGATCAGAAACCCGCCCAGCCCAGTCGACACCATCCTCAACCCTACAGACCCCAAGCCCGAGACCAGAACCCGCAACAAAAGTACGAAACTCTGACCCCGCCGCCCTGAAACCCGAAACCCTCGACGTGTCCTGGGCCCAAGTCTGCCCAGAGTGCCGGTGCGCTTGCACTACCATGCGGTAGACGACCCCGAAGTTGGTGCCCGCACCTGCGTTGTGGATTTCGAGGTCAGGGCTCCCAGGTTCTCCCAGTGGTTTAGGATTTAGGGTTCAGGGTTTATAGGGGGGTTTAGGGTTTAGGGGTTTATAGGGTTTAGGGGTTTAGGGTTTAGGGGTTTAGGGTTTTAGGGGTTTACGGCTTTAGGGGTTTATAGGGTTTATAGGGTTTAGGGTTTAGGGGTTTAGGGGTTTATAGGGTTTAGGGGTTTAGGGTTTAGGGGTTTAGGGTTTTAGGGTTTAGGGGTTTAGGGGTTTAGGGCTTTAGGGGTTTATAGGGTTTATAGGGTTTAGGGTTTAGGTGTTTAGGGGTTTAGGGTTTTAGGGGTTTAAGGGTCTAGGGCTTTAGGGGTTTATAGGGTTTATAGGGTTTAGGTGTTTAGGGTTTATAGGGTTTAGGGGTTTAGGGTTTAGGGGTTTAGGGTTTTAGGGTTTTAGGGTTTAGGGTTTTAGATTCAATAAGGGTTGCTAGAAAGGCTACGATACAACAAGGGCTAGTAAGGGATGCACAAGTATCAAACGGCTAGTATCTACTTACCTAGGGTCTAAGCACACATGGCTACAAGCCATAAGTACAGTGACCTCCTCAGCCAAAAAAGTGTGTGTGTGTGTGTATGTACGTGTATGTATGCATGTATATCTAGTTATATGTATATGAGACTTCCAACAACCGACTAGCCCCATGTGCGAAACTTCAATTGAAATTAAAATGGAATGGAAGGTCTTGGGGTCTAGTCTACTTTGACGGAAGGCAGTGAATCCAAGAGTTAAAAACCATTAACTCCCGTGTTTATTGCCCGGCATCGGGCCGCCTTGGACCCCTCAGGCCCGCAGAATTTACTTATGATTTAATTGGCCCTGAACGTTGCGCGACGCTCCATTCCACGCCTGTCCTGCTCCTACACGGCACAAATAGATCATGATTTATTTCTTTCTGCTACACTATCCGAACCCGGGGCGCCAATTAAATCATGATTTAACTGGTTCTGAATCAATGACCAAATCTGGAACAATTAAATCAACTCGAACAGTTGGCAAGAACGCAACAATTACATCATCATGTAACTGCCTCGCAGGATCCTTGTTTCAGGCTCAAGGTTTACGGTGAGATGCACGGTCCGCATGCTTGTTTGTCTACTGCATGGTGTGCAGGTGTGTCTACGGGACGCATCCCTAAGAGGAACTGTGTTGTTACAGCAAGCAATGGTAGATGACAGCCCGAAAAGGAGAAGCAAGATCTTGAGCAAGAGAAAATTTCAGAGGACAGCTTCGGTGGCATCGAAATGGCGGTCCATGGCGTTGGAAATGATAATGGGTGGACCTCAAAGAGATGAATGCAGGCAAGGCGGAGGCGTGATCATACTCGACTCGACTAGACGAGACTAGAGTAGACTGGAGTAGACTAGAGTAGGCTACAGACTAGAACCGACCGAGTAGACTAGACTAAACTAGTCTACTTATTTAGGCTAGCTTTCCCTGGACCGTGATAGGAACCAGCTACATTACTGGTGGTTACCAAGAAGGACGCCAAATTGCACAATTAAATCGTGATTTAATGTGGTATCCCGCTACTGTGGCAATCTACTCATCTAGGCTAAAATTCCTTGGACCGTGATAGTAACCCCAACTGCATTCCTGGTGGTTACCAAGGAGGACGAATTCGGCAACTAGATCATGATTGAACGTGGATTCCCGCTAGTGTGGCGATCGACTTTTTTAGGCTATAAGTCTTTGGACCGTGATAGGAACCAACTACATTACTGGCTTTGGAAGGTCCAAGGTATGTCAAAACCGAACAATTAAATCAAGATTTAATTTCATTTAACTTCTGGATTCATTGGTTTTCCTACTTTGACCCTAAGGGTCCATGCATTCCAGCAACCGACTAGCCCCATGCGCGAAACTTCAAACGACATGGAAGGTCTTGGGGTCTCGTCCTAAGGGTCCATTATAGGACTTTGGGTCCACTTTGCGAACCAAAGGTCATAAAGAAGGACTATTTGGACCCCTTATATATAGGGACGAGTTGGTAATACGATGCGATGGTCATACAAACAGGATTGAAAACTGAAAAACCCCTAAACCCTCCTAAACCCTCCTAAACCCTAAACTTTCCAAACCCTAAACCCTAAACCCACAGATGTCTTAGGGAGCCGCAACGGCCGAGGCGTTCGACGACCTGCCTCGGAAAGCCCAAAGGCGGTCATCGTCGATCGTGACGTCTTCTCCTGTCAGGATTAAAAAGCTGGTTCATTTTTGGGATAGGATTAAAAATGTGCATTTTTATTCCTTATTGGGTTCAAGTACCCATAAACATGTGAAATGTTACCCAACTGTAACAAAGAAAGGGTGTTAGGGGATTTAGGGGCTTTTGGGTTTGGGGGTTTGGGGTTTAGGATGGATTAGGGGTGTAAGGGTTATTATTTTTGTTGAGCCCCTCTTTTGCTCAGCGGTTTAAGGGTTAGAGGTTTAGGGTTTAGGATGGTTTAGGGGCTTTAGGGTGAAGTTAGGGAGCCATTTGGTCAAAAAGCCTAGCCCAGGCCCCCCAACAGCCGAACATCCGTAAATCCTGGGAACATGGAGGGTTAAGGGTTTAGGGTTCTTTCTGCAAGGCCCCTTTACAGCAACAAATGACTGTGGTCGGTATAATAGGGGCCTCGTATTTGCTTACTTGGGGGTTCATGAGTAGCTATAAAGTTTATAACTATAGTTTCCCTACATATAACCCTCAACTATAACTACCCATGAACCTCCAAGCAAAGAGTGTTTCTGTAAGGTTTGACCAACAGTATGCCAGAAGCTCGCTTCCTCCTGATGTGACCAAGGAGACTGACAGGATGTTGTCCTTGAGAAACAAGGATTGCGGGCTTAGGACTTTAGCGGTTGGGGTTTAAGGTCCTCGGATTCCGACATTTCTGTTGGCTTGAGAGTGTTTGGGCAGAGTATCTGTGCGGTTATACGTCCTTCATGTTTGTAGGCTGAGGGTTTGCAGCTTGGGTGTTAGGCATCGACTAAGGGTTCTCTGCAACGCTAGACCTCTAGACCCAAATCTGGCCTTGAAAGCTTCGTGCTAGTTTCAAAGGTTTTGGACCTCAAAGCTTATAGAAACTTATTCTCGGCCATGGAAACCCTTAATGCCAAAAACGAACACTGTAGCCCATGGGTGCCCAAATTCCGTCAGACAACCAGTGTTCCGAGCGTTTGCGGCTAAACTCCTGATTGGTGAACCCCATTCGTTGCAGGCCCCTAGCCCAAACAGCCCAATGCCGGATTATTGTCTACTCCATTCAAGGATAAGTCTCGGACTTTAAAGGACTTCTCATTAATTCTCAACGTCGCTTCCATTAAGTGGCAGACTCCCGATGACCTCACGAAACCCTCACCCCATAAACCCAAAACCCTAAACCGTAAGGCACCCCCTATAAACAAATACAGAACCCTTGAATTTCAGATGGATCCGTTGGCTGGGAAGGGAAAGGCTCTCGGAGAACCATCACAACATGTGAGGACTTGACAGCTTAAGGCCGCTGACGGCGAACGTTTCAGTCTTTCGGTGTAGAAAAAACCTTTCAGGCTCGGGACCATGCCTCAAAAGCGCTCAGGTGCAGGACAAGCTGCGGAAGCGAGTCCGAAGACGCGTGTGAGATGGCCTATGCCGCCCTGCAGCATGAGACCCATGCCAACACCTCAGCTTGTCCTACTTGTCGGGTATCATGTGGAACAAAAGGTTAACCTGTTTGGTTGTATAGGGAATATATAGGGGCTATGCTACCCAGAAAAGACTGCCTACTCTACTACTAGGTTGTGGAGCTGGGATCCCGCAGGAGTTCATAGGGTTTCTAAACCCTGAAGCTTGACCGCCAACCCTAAACCCTGAACCCAAAAACACAAATCCCAAACAGATAAATCCCGAACCCTAAACAGATCAGGATCGAGTACAACTGGGCCACTGGGCTTAGGGTTTATATAGGGGATTGGGGCTCTGCAGGGAATTTTTGTGGACACTTTGCAGACAACTTTCGGGTGGGTGTTGGCGACAGGAGCACCCGGAATAACACTGCAAGTGCGCACCTATGCCACAAACGCTGTACACCCTAACCGCTCTCGACAGCTCCGACGACATCGGGTTTACCCTACCCGCAAAATTTAAATCTAACTAAACCATCACTGATCCCCTACGCCCTAAGCCCTTAACCCGAAGCCCTTCAACCCCAAACCCTCAAGACTTTTAAATCTAACTAAACCCTCACTCATCCTCTAAGCCCTAAGCCCTTGACCCGAAGCCCTTCAACCCTAAACCCTAAAGACTTCATTACAGCACTCAAAAGGGTGCTCGAAGCTCTGGTTCAAGTCGCTCGGCCGCGCACCCATGGCTACGACCCAGCCTGCCGGGGATTTAAGGGTTAGATTTTTCATTTCTACCCAAAGTAGTTCCTTTTGGGGGCTCAAAAAATAGAATCCTATCATGTAATTAATCCCCAAGAGGAACTACTTTGGGTCCTGTGGGTAGACTTGTGATGCTTTGTTGTTGCGGGGGAGATGTTAGGGTTTAGAGGGTGTTTTTGGGATTGGGAATCGCGCGGGCTTAATTTGGGGCGTCAAATGTCGTATGCAACTGTTGCGGCGTTCTAAGTTTTGGGGAATGGTTATGGTTTAATGTGTTACCTTCTTCCGGTGTTGTTTTGCCGCTGCTGCAGTAGTTCAATCTGAAACTGCACAACGGATACAAGCCATGCATACTCCCTAAACCCTAAACCCTAATTTTTTACAGCAGCACCTACAAGATCCTGCGAGCCCGAACCCACAGCCGGCACCTGGGTTCTTTAGAAGTCTTACCTACCAAAACCCAAGCGACTAATCATGAAATGGGTGGTTGTCAATATTAGGGTCCCTTTTGGGGTACTTATTAATAATACGGCACCCAATATTTAGGGTTCCCAATAAGGGACCCTAATTTTGACAAGTACCCAAATCCAAGCGACTAATCATGCCGAAATCCTAAACACTGAACCACGATGCCCCAAACACCTGGGACAGGCCTTCGGGCAGACAACGGACGATGTCCCCTTGAGTGCAGCCGCCGGCGAGCACTACCGTGCCGTCCCGAAACTCTGCATCACCGAAGTGGGACATGTCGATTCCGACGTTCCTCAAGCGCTCTTGAAGGTTTGCAGTTTAGAGGTTTTTGAGTTTAGGGGTTTGCGGTTTTGGGGCTTGTTCAGACTTTAGGTTTTAGGTATTATTACGGCCACTAGGGATCAGGGTGTAGTTAGTGTTGGCTGGTTGGGATTGCGGATTGGATTTCTTCTGCTTGTTTAAGGCTTGGGGCGTGTCTACGGTTGATAGGATTACGGTACAGGGTTACTTGCGTTGAAGCTCTCGGGCTTCCAAGACTGCAGGAATTCAAGACTACGGTTTGCTCGAACCTAAGTTTCGGTTTCAGTGATTTTAGTGCCCACCTCCACCCTAGAACGCAGTATCTTTGTCGGATAGCCTATTACACAACTACATCTTCAAGTGTATAGGGCTTTCGGGTACAAGGTTTAGGCCTTTTCCTTCATCTAATGGTGACGTCTTAGTTACTCGGAATCCGGACTTCAGCAGGGTTTGGATTGAGAGGTTTAAAGGTTGGTGTTTACAATGTTACAAGGCTTAGGCAATCTGTGTCCAAAACCCTCAATCTTGAGCGAATGCCAAAACCATAAGAACCAAAAATCGAACAAACCCTAGCGGCACTAAGGACCCAAGTACCTCAAAATCATATACTCTCCCAGTTGCTATCCACAACTCTGACAATAAACCCAAGTACCCACCTAAACCTAACCTGGACCCCAACAGTATGTAGGATGATAGCTTTCGTATAGGTTCTGGGCCATTAGTTTACCTACTTTCCTTTGGACCCTTGGGGTAACTTCTAAAACAGGGGCCTTAATAATTGAAATAGGGTCTTGGGGCCCATTAAACTCTATAACCATAATAAGGAAACCCCAAAACACTATAGGTAATTATCAAGGCCCCTATAATGACTTCCAATTCCGGCCTTCATCTCCCTAAACCCTAAAACCTAAACCGCACGACCCTACTTAGAGGATCATGGGACTTAGTAAGTAGGTTATAATGGGGGTTATAAGTCCCCTAAGTGGGGTTATCCTATAATACGACCCTAAACCCTAAAGGGTCCTTTGGACCCTTTTTGGTAACTTCTAATTCCAGTGTAAGCTTCCCATTCTGGATGCAGTGCCCGCTGTGGCCGCCACCGACCACAGTGACCTGGCCGAGCTCCGCCACGCTTACAGTAAGATTTATAGGGTTTAGGGTTTGTAAGGTTCAGGTTTTAGGTTTAGGCGTTTAGGGTTAAGGTTTATAAGGTTGAGGGTTTAGGGTTTATAAGGTATAGGGTTTGGTGTTTAGGGTTTGTAAGGTTAAGGGTTTAGGGTTTGAAGTTTACAAGGTTTAAAAGGTTTAGTGTTTAAGGTTTAGGACTTAGGGTTCAAGGTTTAGGATATAGGGTTGGGGGCTAAAGGCTTACGGTTCATGCAGGGTTTAAGGCTTGTTTTAACCTATGATAGCGTTTGAGGTTTATGGTTTAGGGGTTTCTGGCTTAAGCGGTTTATGGATTCAGGATGTACGGCAATTCGGACGTGTGGACAGGGGTTCAAGAGTTAAGGCCTTCCTGTGGTTTATAGCTTGGGCCATCGGACTTAATCCGCACAACAAACACAGTTTTAACAGCCAGCCTAGCCAATGGACCAAATGCGCTACCGGTACTAAATTGAAAAAGCACAGCTTTCAGAATCAACCGGAAGAGCTCCAAGCTCAACGAAAGACTCGGACATCTTGCACCGCAAGCAAGTTCGCCATAGAGTTCCGGTTGTCAAGGCACCGGGTGTACAAGGATTTGCATGATCAAACTGCTGCGTCTCACAAGCAATATGGGAGTTTCCGAAAATTCGGGGTACCTTATTTTTGGGTCCTTGTAATAAGGATCCTCCCATTTAGGGTACCATATTAGGGTCCCCTGTTTTCGGAAACTCCCATATGGGCAGAACACACGCTGCTTTTTACGTCTTCTCACCAAGGGTATTTAGAAGGTTTATATAGGGTTTAGGGTTTAGGATCTTGAATCAAGCAACTCGATAAACAGAAACCAGCATGCACTAAAGCCGCCTGGCCACAAACGCTAGACTACCTTTTCCTTCCCCAACCCCACACCCTAAACCCTAAACCCCTAAACCCTAAACCCTAAACCCTAAACCCTGTGCAATCCCTCAGCATAGGAGCCCTCTCAACCCTGGAGCCCCTGAAGCCCTAAAGACAGATCAAAAAACACCCCCGAAGAAGCCACAAAATCGCGGCCCCAAACCTTAAACCCTGAACCCTGGTATAATCGATGACCGTAAACCCTGAACTGTTAAAGCCTAAACCCTAGTAGAACCCTGTAAGCCCTAAAGTCCTAAAAGGAGTCCTCGACGGACTTCGGCTGCACCACAGAGAGCGGCTGCAGATGCCTCGTCCAAAATCTCTGGCTTCCCATGAAGGTCTTGTAGGCCTGGTCGGCAAGATGGGTATCGTGTAGTACCCATGTAACAACGAGGAGCCTTAATGTAGGCCTGGCAGGTAACAAAAGAATAATGAGAATGGGGTTTGGGCTGCGGCATAACATAGTGTAAACTCAAAATCCTAGTGTAAACTTAGAATTATAAAGAGCTCAAAGGCATATTGCCTTGAAGACTTTGGTTTTGTATCTTCGGCTGAATACCTCCTCTCCTCTCGTGCTACGACGGCTCGGGACAGAGGCTTAAAACCGACTCGTCAGTTTACTACTATTTGCTTAAGAAGCCCCCAAAAAATAAAAAATGATAACCCCTATATTATCCCTATAAGGAATATATATATATATATTTTAATTTTTTGGGGGTTCTTAAGCAAATAGTAGTTTAGGGTGTAAGAGTTGGGAATTACCTGGACCCCCCCTCAAAGTATGTAGAATAACAGAAGTTTGTAGGTTTTGCGCCGTTATTTTACCTATTTATGGGAGGTAGGGATGAATTAGGGGTTCGGGTTTGGGAGTTAGATGGATTTGGGTTTAGGGTTTCGGGTCTCGCATCAGCGGACTGAACATATTGTTCCTGAGTCCAATGATCCGTCAGCTGGGTCTGGCGAGCAAGTACCCTCGAATATGGTTGCCGCCACTTGTAATTACCATTACAATGACTACTGCCGCTGAACCCTAAACCCTACATCCTAAACCCTAATGCCGCTGAAGCTATTTGGGGTGTGTAGCTGCAGGTTTCATGGAGTTCTCTTCTCTCTGCTCTAGCTTCATCTGGCAGTCACGCCTCCGCCCTTGCAAAATGATCCCTTACATAGGAATCTGAAGACAAACTCAGGCACTGAACTTCGTGAATAGGCTTTGGGAGTGTTTGGGCTCGCGGATCTAGAGCTTCATGGGAACGAAAGGGTTTCAGGATCTTTCCCGAGCATTAGCCGAGATAGGGTGCAGGACTTAAGGGGGAGTAGTCTATCACGATGTGCCAAAGTCTCTGAGGTTCAGTGTTTTGGTTGTTAAAGGCCGGCAGGTGTGGCGTTGGGCGAAGGGCTTGGGATCTTAAATCAGGCGAGGTCGAGTCACAAGTTGCGGGGTTTCCCGGCACTCCGATAGATCCACCGTGTAATCATGACGGGTTTTGGCTTCAGGTCCTGTAGACTTCAGTTCTGTGGCAGGAGAGCTGCCAAACCACAACATTGAAAGGCGACTCAATTAATTCGAGGGCTCATGTACCTATCCTGTATGTATATATATATATATACATATATATATATATATACACACATACATGTGCCCTCAAGTTACAAACTAGGAAACCCTTCCGGGCCATGGTATTGTGAATCAGTGTAACTTACAGAAGCCTGAATAACAACAATAGGGTTTTGGTGTATATCACAAAACAGCATACTATAACTCTAGCCATAATAGTGAGAACCCTAAACCCCGAACCCTAAACCCAGAAGCCCGCATAGGGACCTAAAGGGGCCACGAACCATCCTAAACCCTAAACCCCTAAAACCCCCAAAAAACCCTTAACCCCTAAACTCTGAAGAGATTCGAGGACCCTTTCTTCCGGCCTGGTCCTGCGGCCACGACAGAGGCGTTGCGAGGAGCAACATGCCTCTTTAGGGTTCACGGTGCTACGGTCGTCTTCCTTTAAGGGCCTTTTAAAGGGATCTATAGGGATTCTATACATAGCATAAGGGTTAGGGCCTACTTGGAGGTTCATGGGAAGTTATAAATGGGGTTATAAGCAGGGTAACTATAAGCCCTATTCGGGGACTTAGAACCGTACCCTAAACCCTAAACCCTCTACCCATGAACCTCCATGGAGCCCCTAAACTCAAAACCCGAAACCCTACGCACGATAAGCATCAGACCGTCTAGTGTCTAGTGCTTATAGCCCTAAGGGTCCATGTACCCAAATAGTATATACTTTGGGCCCAATGTACCAATATAGGGAGTACTTTAAGGCCAATGTATATGCTATTTAAGTACATGGACCATTAGGATAGGATTTAGGGTTCAGGCTCTCGGATTGAAGACTGAAACCTGGAGTAGAACCCAAGATTTGAAATCTATAGACTCTAAACCCTCTAGTCCTTAATTCGAAACCCATAACATAACCCTAAGCTTTGAAACCTATAGACTCTAAACCCTCAAAAAAATCCCAAACATCGAAACACTAAACCCTAAACTGCCTGTCGGAATTGAGAACGAGGCCGAAGAGGGTTTAGCGGCCGTCTCCGAGAGGAAGCATTCGATCTTTGCTGTGTCGGCGCCATACAGGACCCTGGCGATGCTGTGCAAGTCCTCGACGGGGACGGGGAGAGAGCAGCACACCCTAAATCACAAAAACGCTGATAAGTCATGTATCAATGCTAAACCCTAAACCCTGTACCCTATGTCCTACGGCGCACAAGCTCTGTGATCTAAGGATCATTGGATCAGGGAAGGCTGTCTGTCCTTGAAGCAGAGTTCGAAAGGGTTTAGGGCTTGGGCTTGAAAGGGTTTAGGGTGTAGGGGTGTGGGGTTTAGGATTCAGTGGTCTTTGTGAAGCTGAAAACTGCGTACCCTGTCCTCAGACTTCGTGAGACGGTCTGGCAGTGCGACGGATGCCTCCCAGTAGTCCACTGTGCCTTGCACACCACAGCGCATCAGCTCATCGAACAGAGGCTCCTGGTAGGGGTTACTTTTTTTTTTTTTTTGGGGGGGGGGGAGGGGTTAGGGTGGCTTTAAGGGTTTAGGGTTTAGGGGCTTAGGGCCTATAGGGCTTATGCTGAGTTGACGCTAGATCTGAACTATAAAGCCCCTGGGCCACGGAACCCGGAATCCGCCAAATACAATGCCCTCAATCCTGAACAAAATCTGCCGGTGGATCCTCCAGCCCTGAAACCCTGGTTTGGGTTTAGGGTTTAGGGTTTAGGGTTTAGGTTCTCCAGTAGACAGCTAATAGTAAGGGTACCCATTTTCCTAATATCCGGATTTGAATGCGGAGAACCCAAAAATAGAAAGGGGTACTGCTGAGGAAGCTTGAACCTAATGCCAAGAAGTTGAAACGCTCGAACCCTTCATCCTCCACCATGCCTGGACCCACAAAAAACGCAGAATAATAGCAGTTTATAAGTTTTTGGGCCCTTCTTTTACATCCTTGTGGGGTGTAGGTCCATGAGCATTGCTTCACAGTTGTGGAAGTCAGGTGTTCTCTTTAATTTTGGGCTCCGGGTCTAGAAACCCGAAGCTGGGAATCCATCGTAGAGACTGCAAGTGCGATTTGGGAGTTTCCGAAAATAGGGGGTACCTTTATTTTGGGGTCCTTATAATAAGGATCCTACTATTTAGGGTACTATATTAGGGTCCCCTATTTTCGGAAACTCCCATTTATCAAAACTAAGCCTGTGGCGCTCACCCTAGACCCTTAACCGTAAACCCTAAGGCCCTGAACCCCTTAAACCTCTAAGCCCTGAACCGTTTAACTCAGTTTAGCTTCTAATTAGGGCTTATGCGGCTTAAGGTTAAGGGTTTCTTCAGGTTGTTGCAGTTACCTAGTTGCTGAGTTCATAAGCCCCAAAAAGGGTACACTTTCAGTTTTATCGTGGGTAATACTATCCCAAAAAGTGTAAAGTGTATCCACTCAGCTACTGAGGTTAGAGGTGGTCTCGTTGGGGTCTCCGGTTTTGGCACCAAGGTGTCCAGCTTCTCACGCCGCAAGATGACGACACAGTGCCCGCCCGGCGCCACGGACATAGGCGAGTGCAGCAGCGTGGGCATTTTGCAGTGCACGCCGTAGAGGCTATGGCACCTTAGCTTCTGCCACAAGCTCGAAATTTACACCTTTTTGATAAAATACTATAGACCCTGAAACCTTGTGAATCCACATCTCAACTTGCAAGAATCCGTAGAGTTCTCGAAGCATTGAGGCTAGGGTTTAGGAAAAATAAATGCCCCTCTAAGATCACCAAACAAAGAACAAATGTGAGAGCATGCGAAACGGATGGTTTAAGGGCTTATAGGGTTTGGGGTTCAACCGTCAGGTTCGTGGTTTGCACGAACAAGGCCTGGCCAAGCTCTCTACCAACAGATTCCTGTCCCTGCGCGCCCCTGCGCTTCCTGTCGCCGAGCGAAACTCCTATGAGGCCCCTACCGCAGACCCGCCAAATCAGCTTGGGTTGCTTTGCGAACCCCTCGCTGCAACACTCCCTAAACCCCTGAACTCTGAACCTTTTGAACCTTTTTACCCTATATCCTAAACCCTGAATAATCCCTACGTCCTGAACTCTGAATCGGTGATCTCCTTAGAAGCTGGAAACGGAAACAATTTCTTAGGAAAACGGTGGTTGCAAATTTAGGGTTTAGGGCGTTGTTCAGCACTCTCAAAGCTGCTTGAGGACCACGTAGCGCATATGCCAGGCAAACCCAAACCCTTCAACCCTAAACAACCAAACAACCCCAAAACCACAAACCCTAGACCCTAAACACTAAACCACAAACCCTAAACCCTAAAACACAAACCCTAAACCCTTTAGGCAGGCTCTGGCACCAGAGGACAATGTCATACTTCTTGCCCACAGCAGTTTGCTGAGAAAAAGCGTCAGTGTTGAGGGCGACGTCCTCCAGCTGCGCTGGAGCCGCTAGGAAGTTCCCAGAGAGCCCAATACTCCTTAATTAAGGAATTTGGCTTAAATTATATAGGGCTTCATATTATGATTTAAGCTATATTCCTTACTTAAGGGGTATTGGGCTCTCTGGGTCGACTGTTTAGGGTTTACCGCAGTAGGGTTTAGGTTAAGGGTTTAGCAAGTCGAAACTTCAACCCTCAACCTCTGGATAATCAAGTTCTATCCACTAAAACATGACTCAACCCCTGCAGCCCAGCTCGTACATCCGGAGGATGCCGCGTAAGTGGAGGCAGAACGGATGGGGGAGGTAACATGGGGGTAGGTAGAATACCTGCGACGCGCCTTTCACGAACGCCAAGCAGGTGAGACGAAGTATGTCGAACCCTCCGGGGGTTAGTGGTGGGTTAGCGGCACATTGGTGACCACACACTAATTAGTACCGCAGTCACCAGAAGGACCAGAACCCTCGGTAGCTTTTTTCGTTCTCGCAAGCTTCGGCGCTGGTGCGCAAGCCAACGTACCTGGCAGTGCGAGGACATTGACAATCAACAGACGGGGATTCTGTGCCAGTCTTGCACATCACAAACCCATGTTTTGCCCCTGCAAACGTCGAACTGAAAAAAACAGTGACTCAGCCACTGGGCAATGCAGCAAAGCTTGTGAAGGACCCCGATTATTATTAGTTAGTATAAGATGGATTTATCACCGCTGCAATTTGCATTGCCCAGCGACTTTGAGGAGTCCTTGCTTGGCATAAATAATTTATTGTCAAGTCTGGGACGGACCGACTAATGATGGCAACACTCCAATCAAATGCCGAGGAAGGTCCTCCTCGTCCACATCACCCAAATATAGGCGTTCCGCAATCTTGACCTTGTTTTCAAGGTGTGACACAAGCCTTTCCAGAGCATGCTTCTCGTTGTTGAGGGACCCCAGCTCCTGCTCCATGGCCACGATCTTTGCCCGAAGTTCGATCACTTCCTCGACAGGCGACCATTCGAAATTTCTCGTCTGTCTGATGTTAATAAGTGATATAATATATAATTATGGTAAATAGAATTATATATTGTCGGCCGAGACTCCTTGCACCAGACACATGGCACAGCTGCCATGGCCGTGTCAGCCTCCACGTCCGAAAGCTCTTCCTGCTCTCTGCAAGGAACTTGGAGCAAATCCGGATGTAAGACTTAACTTATTAATAAATAAATGACGCAGGCAAGCTTCCTCCTTCACGCGTGGCTCCTTCTTGACACTGCCACTATCCTGGATGGGCCCAGCAGCGGCCTCGGCGTCCTCACGGGCCTTCTGCTCCGAGTAAAGTCTGTTCAAAGCCTTCCGCCGCTCTGCTGGGGTCGTTGCCTTCTGTACGGATGGATGGTCATGGAACTTCGACTTACGCCGCTCCTTCTTCTGCTTGTTTTTCTCGTAGAGTTTGTTGAGTTCCTTCCTGCGTTTCTTTGGATCAGAAGGACCTGCCACCAGATCGTTGAATTTGGACTGATTTTTACGTACCTTGACTTTCTTCGTATCTTGCTCCACCAACTGATCATCATCTTCGGATTCCGCCATGAATCAAGGAAGGGCCGGTGGCGACTGTAGCGCCGAATTATTTATGTAATCAGTGAAATTACGTAGCAGCAAGAAGGCTATAGCCATGATCTATTCAATCATTTAGCACCGCTCTGCTACAGAGACTACTGAGATTTATTTATTATTATTATTATTATATTCTGTCAATGCGACTGACTGAACCCGTGTCAGTCCGCAGACTGCTGGCAGGAATTCGGGAGCGGTTGCACATGCAACAGAACAGACGTGACTCGACAATGACATGAATCCAGCAAAACTTCAGACGACACTTCACTGGTCTGCTGGGGCGCACTCAGCCGCTTCAACTTCCACAATGGAGGGGCCGGGAGTGCCAGCCAACCTGGGTCATCAAAATGTGACTTGACTTAACTTGAGACTGGTCCCATTCTTGAGTGAGTTGACCTCCTATTTTACTCACGCGGCGAAGCCAGTCCGTCAGCAGCTTGTCGCTGCAACAAATCATTCATCGGCGGCACATGACGAGTTCAGCCAAAATTGACTCCAGTTGGATGCGGTGTCCGGAAGTGTACCCAGTTACATATTATATTAGTTGGCTACTGACTAATTGACCGCTGGAGGGACCTTATCTGATTCACTGGAGTACTGAACATGCCAACCGCGAGTCACATGCTCAGTCTTCGACCAGCACGCTCCCGTTGCCCTTCGGCGGGGTAGCCGACTTAGCCTTCTTCTTTGGGGATGGGCTCTGACTCTTCATTGACTTCGTCGGCGTGCTCTTCTTCGGCGGCGTGCCGCTCTTCTTATTCGTCTTCTTGTTGGGAGAGGCCTTTGACTTTGGGGAAGCACTGGAGGACTTGCTGCTGAAGGGGCTGGAAGCTTCACTCTTCTTGCGACGGGCCTTCATCGGCGTGCTGAAGCGGTGCTTGGACTTGCTGGATCTCCTTCTGCTGGAGGATGAATCCTCAGAGGAACCACGACGGCGCTTCTTGTCCTTCTTAGGCTTCTTGTGGTCAGTCTTGGATCCTGCAGAAGGGCCACCAGTCCCAGCACTCGCGCCAATGCTGTCTCCGGGGACCTCCTTCAGGAAGAGGGGCTTCTCCCATCTACTCGCAATCCCGAGCTCTGACAAGAGATGGGCCACTCCCCGCATCAGCGCCCCTTTCTTGATCAGAGCACCATCGAAAAGATGGCCCCCTTCCAACGTGGTATTGTCTGAGATCATGTCATCAGGAAGGGCCACGCGGTTCTTGTCGAAAATGCTCTCCCCATTGGCAGAGAAAACGAGGAACCCCTGGCCGCCGTCTGCGTCGATGTCGAGGGACCAATACCCGTTCTGCGTCCAAAACGCCTGACGCAGGGACGCAGATCATGCCATGCAATGCAACTTTATTTATTTATGTCGTGGCAGAATCAACAATTAACAAAAAACCGGCCTCAACTCCGCCCTCAGCCTCCCACGTCTTTGCACGCTCCCCATAGAGGGACCAG